GCCGCCACCGCGGAGGGCACAACAGACCTCCCCCCCCACCCGGGGGGGGGCTGGGGCGAACCCACACACGGCGGCCCCGAGCCCATAATTACCTCGGGAAGCCTACGCCTGCCTTGGCCGGCGAGGGTTACCTACTACGGGACTGCCGGCCGTCGTTTGGGGTTTCCTATGGGCAGGGAGAGACTTGTGCCTTCCACTTTAGCGGGTGTGGCCTGGCAGCGCCCGCACCGCCACCAGCAACGCCACTTGCCCGCTCTGCGCCTTGCCCTTGCTGCCTCACGCCGCCACGCCGTACGCCGCTACGCCACCACAACTTCCCCTATCTCCTTCTTCTTTCTTCGAAATGTTGATGGTATGTTTTCCCTCGTTCCTCGTCCTCTTTCGTCTGCTGCCGCCACCTTCTGGGGCTGCTCATCACCCAGCCGGTGGTGAACCCACTTGGCTCACGAGTTTGACCACACCCCCAGGGCCGACGGGCCCTGGGGGGGACGGCAACGTTCGACGAACTTCCGTGCCTTCAGGCTTTCAGGCTTTCAGGAAGAGGAGAAGAAGGCGGAGGAGGAGGGGGAGGAGGAGGAGGAGGAGGAGGAGGAGGAGGAGGAGGAGAGGATAGGATAGGATAGGATAGGATAGGAGAGAAGAGAAGAAAAGAGAAGAGAAGTGTCGAGGAGAAGGAAGGGGAGGAGAAGGGACGGAGCAAGGAGGGAGGGAAGGAGGAGGGCGACTCTAAGAACTCGAGAAGCTGTTCCGCGAGTGCGAGACTCAGCCACTAGAGGACGGGCTGGCACGCGCAAGGTGCCGTAGCACCACTGCCAGAGCCACCTTTCGGGCGAAGCCACGCCTGGCCTTTGCCCAGGGTCTCGGCAACAGTGGGCCCCATTTTGGTTGTGCCAGGGGAGTGAGTGAGTGAGAGAGGGAGGGGAAGGGAGGAGGCATGAGTCACGAGGGTTTGGAAAGGTTGGCATTTAATTTTCCTTGTGGATCAGCAGTGCAGGGCCCCGGGCAACGGACTCCGTCTGAGTTGAAGTGAGTTGAGTGGAGGACGACGAGGAGGAAAGGAGGGAGGGTGTGCCAGGGGAGTGAGTGAGTGAGAGAGGGAGGGGATGAGAGGAGGCAGGAGTCAGGAGGCTTAGGGGAAGGATTTCTTTCAGTTTCTCCTGTGGAACGGCAGCTCATGGCCCCGGGCAACGGACTCCGTCTGAGTGAGTTTGAGGGGGGGACGAGGAGAAGGAGGAGGAGGTGGAGGAGGAGGAGGAGGAGGTGGAGGAGGAGGACGACGACGAGGAGGAGGACGAGGAGGGATGGGAAGAGGAAGGAGGGGCGGGGGAGGGCCTGTTCTGGACTCGTCATGCTCTCCCTGCCCCGATATCCTCCTCACCCTCAGAAGGAAAAAAGAGGACGCCGCGAGGAGGAGAGGAAAGGGCGGCCCTCCCTCCTTCTCCCTCCTTCTAACTCATTATCCTCTTCTTCTTCTTCTTCTTCTGCTTCCTCCTCCTCCTGCACCTCCTCCTCCGACTCCTCTTCCTCCTCCTCGTCCTCCTCCTCCTCCTCCTCCTCCTTTTCCTCCCTCATTCCGTCCTCCTCGTCCCCCTTCGCCCTCCTCCTCCTCCTCCCCCTCCTCCCCTGACCCCTCCACGTCTCGCCCCCGCCACCTGGGGAGGACGACGAGGGGGCCAGCGGGAGGGGGGTCCTGAGGAAAACGGGCCCTGCACCCTGGGGACTTTCGGACGTTCCCGGGGACCAGCTCTTCGCCCCGAGCCGCCTCCTGACGGCCCAAGAGAGGGCCCCGAAATCCCGAAACCGTGGGCACGACCCTCACAGCACCCGCCTGGCCAGCTCAGCGAGGTGGCCGCCCTTCTGGCCGTGTCGCGCCGGCAGCCCACAAGAGGAGGCGCGGCGCCTCTTGTCTTCTCCGCCAGGCGCACTGTCCACAGGCGCTAGCGCCCCCCGCGCGCCTCGCTCCCTCCCCGCCACCGCCCCCCCCCCCTCGGGCAGGGGGCGTCCAAGAGGGGCGTTCGCAGATCATGGCCGAGGGCATGCGCGCGGACGAGGGGAAGTGGGCCAGGGAGGGCAGCGACATAAGAAAAGAGGCCCTCGAAATCAGGGAGACGTCAGGGCCCCCGGCCATGATATCCACACCCCTACCCGTCGGTCGGAAGAAGTGGGAGAAACTTGAAGTAGGAAGGCGCTGGAAGCAGGTTTGGCTTTCGCCCGCCCCCCTGAAGAGGAGGGACACTAAGGAACACCACTCGACTCTTGAAGTAGGAAGGCGCCCAAAGTAAACTGGAATCAGGGAATCCAGACATTCCACCTTCCAGCGACCGAGGGGTGGCCCTTACCCCCCTGCTGGCCGCCGCTCGTCGACCTCGCACACCGGAGGAGCGGCCTGGGTCGGCGCGAGACCGAGGAGAGCACCGCAGGGAAGCTGGCCCCTCCTCAGAGCGTCGCGGCGGCGGCCCCTGCGACACGCCGTGCCTTGCCAGCTGACAGCGTGTCGCTCTGACTCGTGGGACGAGTACGCCCACCGCACCCGTTTTGGCACACCCTCAAACGCTCCGCGTCCCCATAGGGAGCTCCACCGACGGTCCCACTGTCTGCTTTCGCATGCGCCCACCGCACCCATTTTGGCACACCCCTCACACGCTCCGCGGCCCCATAGGGGGCTCCACCGACGGCCCCAGCGGCTGCGTTCGCATGTGCCCACCGTACCCATTTTGGCACAACCCTGATGGGCTTCGTGGCCCCATAGGGAGATCCGCCGACGGCCTCGGTGGCTGCGTTTGCATGCGCCCACCGCACCTACTTGTGCACACCCTCACACGCTCCGTGGCCCCATAGGGAGCTCCACCGACGGCCCCAGAGGCTGCGTTCGCATGTGCCCACCGTACCCATTTTGGCACAACCCTGATGGGCTTCGTGGCCCCATACAGAGCTCCACCGACGGCCCCAGTGGCTGCGTTCGCATGCGCCCACCGCACCTATTTGTGCACACCCTCACAGGTTTCGTGGCCCCATAAAGAGCTCCACCGACAGCCCCAGTGGCTGTTCGCATGCGCCCACAGTACCCATGCTGGCACGCCCCTTTATCGCTTCGTGGCCCTGTAGGGAGCTCCTCCGGATGCGGTGCATACACCAACGGTGCCCACAACTGCAGATGGTTGGGTCCTTCGCCTGGCCAATTTTATCACGGGGCTCCGGTTTGACTGCTGGTCCCATCGGGCGAAGGGCTTCTCAGGCGGGCCGTCCCCGCAAACAGACGGACCGTCCCGTCGGGACTTCTGGGAACAGGACCGGGAAGGAAAGCTGTTTGGCAGCATTGCTGGCGCATCCAGCCTTGGCTCTGGTCCTCCTGTTCCTCCCTTTCCCCGCCCCCCTCTTCTTCTAGAGGAACAAAGAAAACGGCATAAGCCCATCTTGGGGCGGCGCTGACCCCCATGGCGCGCGGAGCTCGCCAGGGGGTGGCGCAAGAGGCGTAGCCAAGGCAGCTGCGGCGCAGGCCCAAGAAATCCACGCAGAGGCCCGAAACATATATTTGATGCTGTCTCTTGCTTCTCGATCCTCCTCCCTGCTTCCCGATCGTCCACTCCCTCCCCCTCTCCCCCCCCTCGTGAGGGGGAACGACAGGGGGGAACCGGCTCAGTAGGGGGGAACAACAACTTGGAATTGGTGCGATATTGCTCCCATCCATTATTCGAGCACCCAGACAGGTGTCGAAGCAGCGTCGAACGAGTGCCGCCTCCCAGGGCCCGACACGTGAAAACCCTCCAGCTTCGGTACTTTCTTGGTGCTCGAAAGTCTTCCTGGTGATCAAGGCTAATACTAAAGTAGGTTGGAACATCATGGAATCGGTGACACATCGCTGACAGATCGGCGTTAGGCTCCCGATTGCGAAGCCGCACGCTCCCGGGCGGGGTGAGGCGGCCTATCGGGGCCCTGCCGGCGATGATGCATCCCCCCTTCCCCCCCTTTGCGTTGCCCCTGACCCTCCCCCCCATCCTCCTCCTCCTCCTCCTCCGCCTCCTCCGCCTCCTCCTCGTCCTCCTCCTCCTCCTCCTTCCCCTCCTCCTCCTCCTCCTCGTCCTCCTCCTCCATCTCCTCCTCCCTCCTCCTCCTCCTCCTCCTCCTCCTCCTCCTCCCCCTCCTCCTCCTCCTCCTCCTCCTCCCTCCCTCCCTCCCTCCGGCCGAGACATCCGACGATGCGCTGCCCCGGAGGCCCCGAGTCTTTCCCTGGGGGCAGTTTTTCTGACGGATCCAGTCTTGATGGTCCGAGGGATCGATGACGCAGAGGCCGAGATGGAAAACAAACGACCCCCTTTTACGCGACGCCCAAAAAGTGTGCACGTGCGCTGACCCCATACCGGACCCTCCTGGGCCCAGGATCGTGAACACGCCCCCCAAGCTCGGCCAGGGGGGCATATGTGCACCGATCCTGGGGCCAGAAAAGGGCCTGTCAGGACCTGTGTGTTTGTGTGTACATGTGTGTAAGTGCATGTAAGTGTGTGTGTGTGTGTGTGTGTACAAGTGTGTGTAAGTGTAAGAGTAGGTGTAAGTGTAAGTGTAAGTGTAAGTGTAAGTGTAAGTGTAAGTGTAAGTGTAAGTGTAAATGTAAGTGTAGGTGTAAGTGTAAGTGTAAGCGTAAGCGTAAATGTAAGTGTAAGTGTACATAGAAATAAAAGTGTAAGTGCGCGTGCGTGTGTTTGTGTGTGCGTGTGCGTGTGTTTGTGTTTGCATGCGTGTGCGCGTGTGCGTGTACGCGTGTGCGTGCGTGCGTGCGTGCGTGCGTGCGTGCGTGCGTGCGTGCGCGCGTGTGTGTGTGTGTGGGAGAGAGTGTGTGCGTGTATGTAAGTGCGTGTGTGAGTGTGTGTGTGTGTGTGTGCGTGCGTGCGTGCGTGCGTGCGTGCGTGCGTGCGTGCGTGCGTGCGTGCGTGTGCGTGTGTGCATGTGCGTGCGTGCGTGTGCGTTTGCGTGTGCGTTTGCGTGTGCGTGCGCGTGCGTGCCTATTACTCATCGCCCGACCCCCGTCCCCGACCACGGACGGCCCCCCCCGCGCAGCCCTACCGGCCCGCGCCCGCGGCGGCCGCCGCGGCGGCCGCGCCCAGGAGCAGGCACCAGGCCGAGGCCCTCGGGGCTCCGGCGGCGCTGTGGGGCAGGCGCGACGGGTCCGACCTGCGCGCGCGGCGGCAGGCAGACGCGGACTCTCCCACTTCCTCCTCCTCCTCCTCCTCCTCGCCTCCTCCTCCTCCTCTCCTCCTCCTCCTCCGCCTCCTCCTCCTCCTCCTCCTCCTCCTCCCTCCTCCTCATCCTCCTCTTCCTCCAAAGCTTTTTGCCCAGACCCCCTCGAGCAATGGCAAAAATCACGACGGGAGGTTTTTCGCCATGTTCAGCCTTTGGGAGCCCTTACCGGGCCTCTGGACCATCAAAAAACGACTCGGGATGAAACACCGGTCCCGGGGAACAGGTCGAAGCCTCTGGGGGTCGACGTCAGGGCCTCGGGACCATCAAAAAACGACTCGGGATGAGAAACCGGTCCCGGGGAAGAGGTCGAAACCTCCGGCGGTCGACGTGATAAACAAAATCATTACGTCGGGGGTCTGGGCTTGAGGAAGCATCTCCTGGGAGGTGTTCGTCAGAACGGGCAAGGGCTATTCCGTCCGCTTATACGGGGCAATTGAGCCAGACTGAACCCGAACGAGACCAGGATTACGCCAGACTAAACAGGACTAAGCCGGATCGTGCGAGAATAAGCCGAACTAAACCAGCTTTCGACCAGGGGTGCAGCAACGCCGATTCTAAAGTTAACCTCCCAGGAGCTGCGTCCTAACAGGCGGCGGCATGCGGACCCAGATTTCCAATAATTTTACAAACGTCAACACAGAAGTGGCTCGTTGCTTTCGGCGTCCTGGATCCCTCGACAGGCCACCGAAGTCAAAAACGATCGCAGGCGAAAACCCGGTCCCTTGGGAGTGGTCCAGAGGAGGAGGAGGAGGAGGAGGAGGAGGAGGAGGAGGAATAGAAGGAGGAGGAGGAGGAAGAGGATGAGTTGCGGAAGTGCCGGAAGTGCTACCAAGGCGAAGCTCGGCCAATGGAAAGCCAGTCCCTGTTTCCAGCCTCCGAATCGTGATGGGCTGCATTTCACGTGAAGTCTAAGTGATCGGCTCCATTCAGCGGGGTGGCCAGGTCTGCCGGAGTCACAGAGTGCATCTGAAGACTGTGGTATTGCAGCATGTGCGGCTCCTTCTGCACTGAGAGGGCCAACGAGCTCAGGAGTCCATGTAAAATGCGGGCCACACCGACAGAGGCTCAGCGTGTGAGCCGGATCGACCGAGGCTTACAACTCAAAGCCCCGAGTAGGGCTGAGCAGGCGGTCCGACAGCAGTCTTTCTGGTCCTCTCCCGTCCGAGTGTAAGGCTGGGATGTTCCTTGTGTCCTCTTCGCGACATGACATTTCATTCCATTCCTTCTCCTCCACCTATTCGCATGACTCCTCCACCGCATGACATGTTGAGAGGCCCCCGCGGCGGCGCGCCCGATCGGACCTGGGATAGACGAAGAGCTCCTTGGCAAACAGGCGGCAGGGAGGGGCGGGGTGAGGGAGGAGAGGCTGCAGTCGACTACCAGGCACGCCTCCGCAAACATTCACAGGCAGGCTTACCAAACGCAGGCAGGGTGGACAACCATTCCAGTGAGGGGGGGGGCACAGACGCCCACCAGCGCAAGCGGGGAAAGGGGACGAGAAGGGGAGGGAGGAGGGACATCTATGAGCGCTCGAGCCATGTTCGACGTCCTACCGCTCCCACGCGTCCCTTCCAATTGCGCTGAACCCTGCTGCATCCATGGGGTGTCCTAATAAGGACAGTGATCCTCAAGATGACCCCATCGTATGATGCGCAATCAGCAGAGGGGGCGGTCTTTGTACAGTGTCGAAAGAAAGAGGCGGATGAGCAGGAGAAAGAGAAGGATGAGGAAGGACGGGGAGGAAGAGCAGCAGTAGGAGGAAAGATGATCAGGAGGAAGAAGAAGATCGGCGGAAGGCCGCAGAAGGGAAAGGAGAGGGGCGGCAACGATGGATACGGAGCCACATCCAGTACCGTGCCACGCGCGGGGGCAAGAGCGCCCTATCTGAACGACATGAGCAGATCAGGAATCCTTCCTTGAATGTGGCCAGCACTGCAGCTGGAGCATGGTTTCTGAAGGACTGAACACCTCATTTTGGACGCCCGACCATGGTTGCGAAGAAATGGGTACGATGCCCAACAGCAAACCTTGCCTCCAGCCGACCGCGGTCACTGTAGGGTAGGCGACCTGGTGTCTCAAATTAACCACGTCCGCGACGGCACCAGCAGCGAGTCCTGTTCAACATGGACAGAAACTGCTGTCGGTCTTCGTCTCCATCGTTTACGTGATCATTTCGATCGCACTGCATCCCTGGGGTGTCGTTTCATGCCCCCGACCCATTGGTGATGTCCCCTGGGCTCGAAAGCGCCCCCCGAGAGCAGGCATCGCAGACAAAACGCTGGCTAAACATTACAAGTGCAAAGTACCCTGATAGCAGCACAAGTGCATATGCGGGTCGAGAAGTTGGAGATCGGCAAATGGAATCGTACACTTCTGGGAATTCCTTGTGACTCCTGGGGAAGATGCAGCCAGGACAGGGGCGTGATCTCCGCCATGTGCACAGGTTCTTAACCGTCCCAGGTCATTATGGGTGCCAACAATTTGCCTGGTCTCGACCGGCGAGATCGGTCGCTACCGATGTTGCTGGAAATTCTGGCATCTGTCGCGACCCATTTGGACTGCCGATCGGACGCTGCCGATCGCGACCGAAAAACTCTGGCATCCCATGACCCCGGCCGGCCACGGCTGGCCACGGCCATGGGCGGCGAGGGCGCGCGGGGGGTGCGCGTGGGGGGCATCCGAGAGGGAGGCGTCCGCGAGGGGGGGTCGCAAGTCCTGGCCCGAGGCACGTGCGCGGGCCAGGGTTGGGGGCCGGGGCCACGATACCTGGGGAGATTTGACGCCTCCATGCAGGATGCAGGCCTCGGAAGAAATGAGCGCACACTCGCGCCACTGTTCGTGTGTCAACGCCCCTCCCCCCCCCCCCCAAGGATCAACGTTGGCGGTGAGCTCACTTCGCCCGCAGCCTGCCCCGCGCGTGCCAACCTTGAGTCTGGGGGACAAGGGGAGTGTCCACTAATGGTTTCCCTCTGACCCTGGCATGTATTTAGAACCCCCCCTTAAGGGGGTAACTAATTACTTTTTCAGGCAGCCGTATTGAATGACTGGGGTCCCACCAATAGGGGGTAATTAGTAATTAATTCCCCACATCATCAGTGGGTTTCTTGTTTTCTCTGCACACCCTCCGCGCAGGATCTCTCGTCCTCCTCCCTCTCCTCTGCTCCTCTTTGCTTCCTCCTCCGCATCATCATCACCATCACCATCACTCCCCACTCATCATCATCATCACCATCAGCATCACCATCACCATCGCACGATCACTCACCATCATCGGCATCGAACGCATCATCATCATCATCATCATCATCATCATCATCATCACTACTCGCTGACTCACCACTTCGTCCCCATCATCATCACCACCATTTACCATCAGAATCGCACGATCACTCACCATCAGCACTCATCATCACCACCATCATCATCATCATCATCACGTCGTCATCACCACCACCACCACCATCATCATCATCATCATCATCATCATCATCAATCATATATCATTATCAAACACCGTCGTCATCATCCCATCACCATCATCCACCAAGAGGGAGCCTCGTCTGTGAGTGAATTGTGAGGAAAGCTCAGGCGGGAGCCCCTCCCTATGGGGCCCGCAGATCATGTTACTAATCCGAGCGGGTCATCGAATTCTTGTAACTGTCGTCACTTTTGGGCTCCTCAGGTCTGAATTTGGAGGAAGTATCAAGCGGGAGCCTCGTCTGTGAGTGAATTGCGAGGAAGTCTCAGGCGGGAGCCCCCCCCTATGGGGCCCGCAGATCATGTTAGTAATCCGAACGGGTCATCGGATTCTTGTAACTGTGGTCACTTTTGGGCTCCTCAGGTCTGAATTTGGAGGAAGTATCAGGCGGGAGCCTCGTTCGTCAGTCAATTGCGAGCAAGTCTCAGGCGGGAGCCCCCTCCCTATGGGGCCCGCAGATCATGTTACTAATCAGAGCGGGCCATCGGATTCCTGTAACTGTCGTCAATTCTGGATTCCTCAAATCTGAATTTGGAGGAAGTATCAAGCGGGAGCCTCGTCTGTGAGTGAATTGTGAGGACGCGTCAGGCGGGAGCCCCCTCCCTATGGGGCCCGCAGATCATGTTACTAATCAGAGCGGGCCATCGGATTCCTGTAACTGTCGTCAATTCTGGATTCCTCAAATCTGAATTTGGAGGAAGTATCAAGCGGGAGCCTCGTCTGTGAGTGAATTGCGAGGAAGTCTCAGGCGGGAGCCCCTTCCCTATGGGGCCCGCAGATCATGTTACTAATCCGTGCGGGTCATCGGATTCTTGTAACTGTCGTCACTTTTGGGCTCCTCAGGTCTGAATTTGGAGGAAGTATCCAGCGGGAGCCTCGTCTGTGAGTGAATTGTGAGGAAGTCTTAGGCGGGAGCCCCCTCCCTATGGGGCCCGCAGATCATGTTACTAATCCGAGCGGGCCATCGGATTCTTGTAACTGTCGTCACTTTTGGGCTCCTCAGGTCTGAATTTGGAGGAAGTATCAAGCGGGAGCCTCGTCTGTGAGTGAATTGCGAGGAAGTCTCAGGCGGGAGCCCCCTCCCTATGGGGCCCGCAGATCATGTTAGTAATCCGAACGGGTCATCGGATTCTTGTAACTGTCGTCACTTTTGGGCTCCTCAGGTCTGAATTTGGAGGAAGTATCAGGCGGGAGCCTCGTCTGTGAGTGAATTGCGAGGAAGTCTCAGGCGGGAGCCCCCTCCCTATGGGGCCCGCAGATCATGTTACTAATCCGAGCGGGTCATCGGATTCCTGTAACTGTCGTCACTTTTGGGCTCCTCAGGTCTGAATTTGGAAGAAGTATCAAGCGGGACCCTCGTCTGTGAGTGAATTGTGAGGACGCGTCAGGCGGGAGCCTTCCTATGGGTCCCGCAGCTCACGTGGTTCCTCCGGGTCATCCTCCGGCGCGCGCTTCCTCTGGGTCGTCCTCCGGCGCGTATCGGCTGGGACGCACGTCGTGCGCTTCCTCTGGGTCGTGTTCCGCACGAGGACGAGGAGGAGGAGGATTGCCAGGAAAAGGAGGAGGGATGATGCAGGACGAGACAGGAAAGCAGGAAGAGGAAGAGGCTGAGGGGAGGAAGGACGAGGAGGAAAAGGAGGAGGAGGAATGCCCGAGGAGGCCCCAGTAGGTCCCGGAAGGCCCAGAAGGCTCCAGGAGGCCCCAAGAGGCCCCAGGAGGCCCCAGGAGGGGGCAGGAGGCCTAAGGAGGAGGCAGGAGGAGGAGGAGGAGGAGGAGGAGGAGGAGGGGGGGGGAGGAGGGGGGAGGAATATGGAAACGAGGAGGAGGAGGAGGAGGAGGAGGAGGAGGAGGAGGAGGAAGCGGATGAGGGAGAGGGAGAGGAGGAGGACAGGGGATGAGGAGGAGGAGGAGGAGGAGGAGAAGGGAGAGGGAGAGCAGGAGGAGGAGGCAGGAGGCAGGAGGGGCAGGGGGAATGGGGGGGAGGAAGCATAACGAGGGGGAGGGGGAGGAGGTGGAGGAGGCAAGAAGAGGAGGAAGAGGCAGGGGTTGAGGCAGGAGGAGGAGCAGACAGGAGGAGAACGAGGAGGCAAGAGTAGGTGGGAGAAGGGAAGGGGCAGGAGGATACCCCCATGCAAGCTAAAGAGATTCTCATGCGGGGTCCTTCCGTCGGAGTAATTTTTTTCTGCGGCACCCGCCGCGCAACAACGACGACGACAGTTACGACGACTATTGCGACTACGACTATGACGATCACGAGGAGGAAGGTGAGGAGGAGGAGGAGGAGGAGGAGGAGGAGGAGGAGGAGGAGGAGGAGGATGGAGGAGAAGGAGAAGGGAGGAAAGGAGGAGGAGGAGGAGGAGGAAGAGGAGGAGGAGGAGGAGGAGGAGGAGGGGAGGAGGAGAATGTGTTAGGACAGGTTCTATTCAGCGCCGGAAGAAAGGGGGGCGGGGGCGGGCCAACATTAAAGACCTCGAGCGGTGATCCGCCCCCCCAGTCATCCCCCCCTGCTCCTGCTCCTGCTCCTGCTCCTGCTCCTGCTCCTGCTCCTGCTCCTGCTCCTGCTCCTGCTCCTGCTCCTGTACCTCCTCCTCCTCCTTCTCCTCCTCCTCCTCCTCCTCCTCCTCCTCCTCCTCCTCCTACTCTCCTCCCCCCCCCCCCTCCTCCTCCTCCCCCTCCCTCTTGGGTGCTCCCGAGCGTGGCGCGCCCCCCCCCCCCCCCCGCGCGGCTCCTCCGGAAAGGACGGGCCCTGCTGCGCCTCGCGGGCATCCCCGGGGACCCGCTCCGCCGCCCCGCCTCGCCCCCTGCCCTCCTGCGCCTCGCGGCGGCGCGCCCAAAGGGCCTCCCTGACGGGCAAAATGTTGCACCACCGCCACCATATGCAGGACGGGGGAGAAGGGAGGAGGAGGAGCTCCTCCTCCTCCTCCTCCTCCTCCTCCTCCTCCTCCTCCTCCTCCTCCTCCTCCTCCCACTCCTCCCCCTCCCCTACACATGGTAGAGGCGATGAAAAATCGAACCGAGAAGTCGAATCGGCTCGGAGCCGGGTCGGATCGCCAGCGGATCGTCCCGCGTCGGAGCGGAATCGGATCGCCGCGCCAGGGGTTCCGGCTGGTGGAACGGCTCGACGCGAACCGAATCGGAATCGCAGCTCCAGCTGGCGAATGATTCGCATCGCATCGCATGGTAGGCGGCCCCGCCTGCCCCCTGGCCTCCCTGCTGCGCCTCGCGGAGCGACGGGCCCTGCCGCTCCTCCGTCCCTCCGCGCCCTCGCCCCCCTGCGCCTCGCGGCGGCGGCGCGCACAGGGGGGGGGGGAAGGCAGGGGGGTCTGGATTGGGCTCGGGTTCCACGCGGGACTCGCCACTGGGACAGACTGGGGAGAGCGGTTCAAGCGCATCTGGCACCTCAGCGTCGCCTCTGGCGGGGCCAGGGTGCTTGACTCAAACTCTCGCTGCCAATGGTCCTCGCAAGAGCTGGACCCCAACAGGGCCCGCCGCCGCGCCCAAAATGGGGTCAGAAAGCTGAACGCCGGGCCTTCTCATCGATTCCCTTCGACTCCCCTCGATCCTCGATCCTCCTCGATCCTCGATCCTCTTCGATCCTCGATCCTCCTCGATCCTCGATCCTCCTCCTTCCTATTCCTCCTCTTCCTCCTCCTGCTCCTCCTCCTCCTCAACCTGCTCCTCCTCCTCCTCCATCCTCCCTCCTCCCTCCTCCCTCCTCTCTCCTCCCTCCTCCTTCCCCCCTCCTCCCTCCTCCCCTTCTGGGAAGCTCCCTGGGCCTTCTCCGAGGCCACAGGGGGCCTCTCAGAAGGCTGCAACGGTCTCTGAGAAGCTCCGCCGCCTTCTGAGATGGCCTGCCTCCCCCCCCCTCTGAGGGGGAACGAACCCAGACCCCTCGCGCCGTGCCCAAGATCACAACGGACGGCTTTTGACTGTCTTCAGCCTCTGGGGGCCCTCGCCGGGCTCCCGGACCGTGGGCAAAAACGGCTCAGGAGAAAGTCGGCATCTGGGAAGTGGTCGGGATCTCGGGGCGCCAACGCTTCGAGGGGTCTGGGAGGAACGACTGGCTCAGATGGGGAAACGTCGACCTGGAACAGGCGATCCGTCGCCGACAGATCTGCGATACAGTTGGGCTGCTGAAATAAGGAACGAAGCCCCTCTGTAGCTTCAAAAAAGCCTGGGTGCACGAGAAGGGCTAGAGGAACAACCACGGAAGGACCTAAGGAACACCGAGCCCCTTCCGAATCCAAACTGTTCCTTGTTTCAGCGTCTTGGCTGCAGGCCCCCGGCAGCGAAGCCGCAGGCTCCTGGGCGGGGCGGGCTGTCGGGGCCCTGTCGGCGACCAGGGGGCGATTTCGGGGCTCGATGCATGTCGCGCCCGGAGCCGCTCCGCACCTGGGCCCATCCCCCCGCCATGAGGTTGCCCCTGAGCGAATCCTCCTCCTCCTCCTCCTCCTCCTCCTCCTCCTCCTCCTCCTCCTCCTCCCCCCCCTGCCCCTGCCTCTGCCCCCGCCCCCCCGCCCCCCCGCCCCCTTCCCCTGCGGCCTCTCTTATTCTCTGCGCAGGGCGCATGAGGTCACTGAAGTCGTCGCTGTCGTCGTCGTCGTCGTCGTCGTCGTCGTCGTCGTCGTCGTCGTCGTCGTCGTCGTCGTTGTCGCGCCCGTCGTCTACGCGGACCCGCGGGGAGTTCCCCAGCGAGACGTGACAAGAATATCAGATGCACGTGTGGGGAGGTCCGCGTCGAGTAATTACTTAGACGGCTCCGAGAACCTTTTCCTTTTCCACGCTCAGAGTCACTCAGACTCACTCGTACTCACTCACACCCAGACACACTCATACTCAGACTCACTCGTACTCTAACCTGCTCAAATTTGAACTCACTCACACTCGGACTCACCCACACACACAATCACACTCACGACACCCACACTCACGACACCCCCACATACTGCAAAGTCACCCATCATACAGCATACTCAGACACACTCTGCACACTCACTCGTCTCTCAGACTTACGCATGCTCAAACGCACTCATCTTACCGAAGGGTCAGTCACATCACCTCCTCAATCAGACTCACTCATGCTCATAATCAGTCACGCACGCAGGCTGTAAGGATGCCTCAGGCGAGGCGCTGGCTTCAGCAGCCCCGTGGGGGAGCGCCAGACGTGCCCGTTCGCACCCATATTGTGGGAATGTCTCGGGCGGTTTGCCTGTTTGGGCGCCCAACGTCCTCTGCGTTCGGAGCACTTTGCGAGGATATCTCAAGCGAGGCGCTGGTTTCATCATTCCCCATGGGGGAGCGACAGGGGGATGTATCACGGGCCCGTTCGCGCCCAGAGTGTGCGGGTGTCTCAGGCGGTTTGTTTGCCTGCTTGCGTGCCCAACGTTCTCTGCTATCGGAACACGTTGCGAAGATGTCTCGGGCGAGGCGCTGGCATGAGCACCCCCGGGGGGGGGGCGCCAGAGTGGTTATTTCCTAAGCCCGTTCGCGCCCGTAGTGTGAGGATGCTTCAAGCGGTTTGCCCGCTCGCGTGCCCAACGTCCCTTGCGTTCGGGGCGTGTTGCGCGGATGTCTCAGGCGAGGCGCCGGGGAAGTGCCGGGGAGGCATCTCATGCCAAGGCCACGCCAGCGGCGATGTTGGTTAACTATGGAAACAAACTCTACTCTATACACCAACGCTTTTTTCAAGCCCTGCGCTGACACTTGCACGGGAAAGCGGATCCTGGTGTATACCGGATCCAGGTGTATACATGTCTCGTTGTTCCCCCGGGAAACGGACAACAATAATACCCCACACCACCCCGACGTCGTCCCCAACCCTCGAAAAGTCCTGGGACTGAGGAATCGCTCGCCACTGGTAATGTATATGCTCCAGCTTCCGATGACCTGCGTTGCTGGGAATCTGGCGTTGCGGTGCCGAACTCGCGAAGAACGAAGTGTAGGAAATCACGAACCACATGTTCCTGCAATTCAAACACGCGAACGTATCGAGCAAAGACGTCGCGGATAACTGCAGGAAGCCACGAGCCACGCTTTCCTACTATCGGGTCGGCCACGGACCACTCCCACCTACAATGCCGAATCCTACACCGCCGTTGCCGACATCGCCGTTAGCGTCTCTACAGTCATGGGCCCATTCGCGCCATGATTGGGGGGATGTCGTAGGCGGCTTGCCTGTTCGCGTGCCCAACATCCATTGCTTTCGGGCATTTTGCAAGATGGTCTCGGGCGAGGCGCTGGTTTCAGCACCCCCAAAGATGCAGTGCCAGGGGTTACTAACTCAGACTGCGTGGACTCTTCCACCCCAGCCTGCCACCTTCTCCTCTTCCTCACACTCACCTTCACACTCACTCATCACACTCAGACGCACCCATTACGAGGACTCATTCATACCCAAATCGACTCACGGTCATGCTTTCCCGCACCCAGACCCACCCATACCCATATTCAATCACATCATTCCCTCCCTGAGACGCCCTCAGACTCAGACTCGCGCTTCCCTTCACAGACTCAGCCAAACCATCAGTCAGACTCACGCAAGCTCAGGATCACTCGCCCAGGATGTAGGCATGTCTCAAGCGGTTTGCGTGCTTGGGTGCCCAGCATCCTTTGCTTTGAAAGCAGCTCGTGAGGATGTCTCAGGCGAGGCGCTGGCTTCAGCACTCCCAAAGGGGGAGCCGCCAGCGGGTAGCTCACTCTTCCGTTCGCGCCCCGAGGTTGGTGATGTCTCAGGCGGTTTGCCTGTTTTGTGTGCCCAACATGATGTGCGCTCAAAGCAGATTGCGACGAAGCCTCAGGCCGTTGGGCCTGTTTCTGCCCACCCCCCTCGTCTTGTCGGTGGTCCAGTGCTCACAACGACATAGCAGGCGTGGCACCAGGGCACCCCGAGGGGGGCCGCTTAGGGGTGGGGACATGCCAGGTCTCGCGCTCAGACTGGGAGGTGAGCGCACAGTTTGTGGGGATGTTTCGGGCGGCTTCCTTGTTTCGAACCCCCAGGCTTGTCTCTGGACTTGTCTTAAACAGACGCCTGCGGACCTCACTCACTCTGTCACCTCCCTTCCTTACCCGGACGCATTCGCAGTCAGACTTGCTTATCAGCACCTCCTCATCACGCAGACTCACTCATCACGCTCAGATTCAACCATACTCAGACTCATTCGTACCCAGAGTCGCTCAAACGCAGACCTGATCACACTCAGACTCGCCCGCACAGGCTCGCTCACACTCTGACTAATTCACACTAGGGCTTACTCACGCTCAGACCCGCCCACCCTCCGACTCGCCAGAGGCCAAACTCACTCGAACTCAGATTCACTCATAATCACACTCATACTCATGTTCATATTCAGACGCACTCACACCCAGACGTATGCCCACAGACTCACTTGCACTCAGAAACACCCAGCCTGAGAGTCACCCGTCGTAGTACTCACTCGTCTTCAGACCCAGCCAGACACAGACTCATACTCGTCAACTCATTCTCAGACCCACTCGACACTCAGACTGACCCACAGTCAGACCAGCTCTCACTTAGACTCACTCATACTCAAGCTTGCGCATCGTCACACCCATTCGTTCTCAGACTCTCATACTTAAGCCTACTCATCTTCACACAGACTCACTCACACTCACATCACTTACGTGCAGGTTCACTCAGTCTCCCCTCGTTGTGGTCCAATGCTCACTCACTCTTACACGTGTGCTCTCATCATCTCTCCGGGAATCTGTTCAGAGGGGGAAGAGGACGTCACAATCGTCGGTGTCGCCGTCTTCGTTGTCGCGCCCGCCTTCGCTGAATCAAGATGTTCACAGAAAGAGTTCCTCAGCGAGGCGTGACAGAACTATGAGATGCACGTGGGGATCTCCGCGTCGAATGATTTCTTTCGGCGCTTGTGTGGCCAGCGCTCTTCACTGCTGGCGTGAAATATTTGGCCCTACCACAGGGGGGTCCAAAATCCGGCAACTGACACATGCCCAGAACATCAAGCGCTCCCATCTTGAACAGCGTTCCACCTTCTTCCTGACGAGGCTTGTAACCGGCGGAGGCGAGCCCTGAGGCCTTCTGAGAAATGCTCGGTGTCTTCAGCGAAGGTCTAGAAAACCTTTCAGAAGGCCCGAAGCCTTCCGGGCCTTCTGAGAAGGCCTTCCCCTTCTCACTCCCCCCCGTCGCGCACTGCCGACTTGTAGGGAAGCGCGCCCGCGTGGCACCGCGCAGGGGCCGTGGACGACGAATACGACGAGACGGCGGCGGAGCTCAGCGGTAAACGACGAAGACGACGACGACAAGCACAAGCACAAGGACGACGACAAGCACAAGCACAAGGACGACGACGACGACGTCGTCCTCCGTCTCGCAGGGCCTCGACGCCCGTGCGCAGCACGACGTAGCTCTCGCGGTTGAGCGCCACCAGCGGGGCGCGGAGGGGCGCGCGCGTGTCCCCGCCCTGGCCGTGCAGCTCCACCTCGGGCCGGCGCCGGCCGGCGGGGCCGGGGCTGGGCGCTGCCGACGAGGAGCGACCACCCCTCCTCCTCCTCCTCCTCCTTCTCCTCCTCCTCCTCCTCCTCCTCCTCCTCCTCCTCCTCCTCCTCCTCTCCTCCTCTTGCTCCTCCTCCTCCTCCTCCTCCTCCTCCTCCTCCTCCTCCTCCTCCTCCTCCTCCTCTTGCTCCTCTTGCTCCTCCTCCTCCTCCTTCTCCTCCTCCTCCTCCTCCTCCTCGTCATGCCCAGAGGGGGTCGCAGAGGGTTGGACCGGCCATGGGTATGGGTGCGGGTCGTCGGACCCCGGGGGAGGCTCCCGATCGAGCGGGGGCCGCCATCCGACAGCACGCATCCAGTTAGCCTCCTCCGTCCCCCCCATGGATGTTGGAGTGCGCTGCTCGCTCGTCAGGGCGAGGTGCCCCGACCCCCTCTGGTCGTGGCACAGCTGCGACGGACGGCTTTCTGTTGGCGATTTGGTCTGCTTCTGGCGACGCTCGGCAACCAGCTGCTCTAGGTGGCCAGCCAAGTTTCGTCTCTTGGGTGTGTCTGCACAGTCTGGTTAGGGTCCGCGACGGGGTGATCGTCATCAAGGAGGCCGTCATCGCTGCCGAGTCCTGCCCCTGCTGCCGCCGCTGGCTGCTGGGGCTGGAGCTGCTGTGGCTGTAGCTGCTGTGCTGGCTCCTGCTGCTGCCTCTGCTGCTACTGAGGCTGGGGAGGAGGGAGGCCTGACCCTGCTGCTCCTCCTCCTCCTCCTCCTCCTCCTCCTCCTCCTCCTCCTCCTTGGCTCCCGTGCCTTCGATCCCCCTCCCACGGGCGGAGGCAGAGAGGCAGCCGCGCGAGGAGCCGATGCTCCCAGGTGCCGCGGCGGCGAGCGCGGCGGGTGCGCGCCGCTGCTCCCCCTTCTGCCTCCGGGGCCGCTCCTCCTCCAACTCCTCCTCTTCTTCTTCTTTTTCTTATTCTTCTTCTTCCTCTTCCTCTTCTTCTTCTTCTTCTTCCTCCTCCTCCTCCTCTTCTTCTTCTTCCTCCTCCTCCTCCTCCTCCTCCTCCTCCTCCTCCTCCTCCAACTCCTCTTTCGCCGCCTTCTGTTGCTGCTGAAGCTGCCGTGGCTGCTGCTGCACTCTGCTGCAACAGCCTGGCCTGCTCCAGTTCCGAGGCAATCTTCCTCATGGCTTCGCGTAGCACTGGGACATAAACTTCCCACGGTCCACGCGGATTTCGCGCCCGGCCAGGGGCGGCGCCGAAGGCGTCGCCAGGGGGGCCCAGCGCAGATCCAGATCCGAGCTGGGCTGCACTCGAGATCTGAAAAGACATGCCGGCCTGCGGGATTCCAAGAAACCCTGGGGCTTCTGTCGCTGGTTACATCCCCGATACATACTACGCTCAGGAACTTTTGCATAACGCGTCGCGGCGACGGCCCGGCGACACACTATGCCGTGCAAGCAGGTAGCGCGTCACTCTCCCTCGCAAGGCGCGGGGTGAGAGGCTGGCAAAGGCTCGGGACCTCGACGCTTGGAAATTGTGAAGTGCCTAGTGTGTAGCGCGCACGCCAAACAAATTCCCGACCGTAACCTCTGAGCCTCCGCCAGCTGGGACCCGCCTCGTAGACGCCAGGGTTCACCGCCACCACGCTGTCGAAGCGGAGCTCCTCGCTGGCGTGACCGTCGGGGCCGCCCGGGGCCGTCGTCCGCATGTCCATGATCCTGGCTGGGTAGACACTCGGGATGTGATGCCCATGACCCCGAATCCAAGATCCAGGATCGACGGTATTGATGTAGGCTCCTGGAGGTTCTCCTGCCTCGGAATGCTTTCCAACCGAAGCGCCGCGTCGAGTCCGTTGCAGGGGTGCCAGAATCGTCCCGAAGGCCGCCAGGTGCACGAGTTATCGCCCGAAAGCCAGACACCAAAAGTGTTGAAATCCAGACCGAGGTTCCGTACCAATTCGGCCTCCGCGGGGGCCCTCGCAGGGCCCCGGGACTGTCATCACCTTCCTCGAAAGGAAAGAAAGCATCGGCCCTCGGAAAAGGGTCGGGATTCCAGGGATCGCGATTTGAAAAACTCAAGGCATGGCATGGCCAGGTGCCATGACCCCGACTGAAAGATCCATGATCGACGGTACGGTCGGAAACCTTTGCTTAGCGCGTCGCCGCGGCGGCCCCGGCAACGCGCTGGGGCGGGGCGCTCGGCAAGGCTCGGGACATGGACGCTCGGAGACAGGGGCGTGGACAGCGTTCCGCGCCGACGCATGGTAGGCCAGAACTGGCGGAGCGACACGCCGTCCAAAAAATACTGACCGTATGCATGCCCCCGATTGTCGGCGGCGCGCTTCCAGGGGGAGGGGGGGAGGCTTCTTATAGGGAGGCTGCTTCTGAGACGGCGCTGGCCCTACATCTACAGACGAGGCCCGCGCCTTCCAAGAACCAGGAGTGCGTCTAAGAAGCCTTCCCACCTCCTCCTACCCCTCCCCTGCGCGCGCCGCACACCCATGTTCCCGCTTGGTCTGGCTTCGGCTTGCGCAGAGATTGTGCCCACCCTCCCTCCAGGGGCAGTCCCCGCGGGCCTGCCCGCCGGGTACATCTGGCCCGGGGCGATCTCGGCACCCCTGCGCCGCGGCTGCTCGGGGCGCCTGCTGAGGCCTGCTGGGACCCCCTGGGGGGGCGTTCTGTGCGCAGCCCGGAGCCTTCCCGACCTGGGCTCCAAGATCCAGCGGTCGACAATATGCACGTGCTGAGGCCTGCTGGGACGCCCTGGGGGGGCTGTCTGTGCGCAGCCCGAAGCCTTCCCGACCCGGACCGCAAGATCCCGAGGTCGACAATATCCTGGAAGGCCAGAACTACCTGCTTCCAGAGGACCAACATCTGGGGCCGATGCCCAGTACCGTTCTCACGTCCTAGCCAACAGCGTCTACGGACACATTGGGTGCCGTGACGTCCAGACATGTTCGGGTGTGGATGCGTCTTTGGACAGCGCGGCCGTTGCGTTCGGCGCGGTGCAAGGTCGGAGAAAGGGTAGATAGAAGAAAACAAAGCCACGTAAACAGGCGCTCCGCGCGGATTTCTTGGATTCGCGCTGGACCCCCTCCATGGCAAAACCATCGAAACCCAAGAAACCCAGGGCACCCTGGAGGCAAGTAGGGTGTTTCTTGGCACGGGCCTCCACTGTAGCCTGATTCTTCCTATCTGCCAGACTGAGAAACAAGTGGGGAGGGTGGAATGAGCAGGGGGCAGGTAGAGAGAGAGAGAGGGACAGAAGAGGGCAGGGGGCGAAGGGGAGGGAAGGGGGCGGGCCCTCTCAAATGGCTCTGCAGGCCTCTCACCTTCTGCACCGCCTCCTGAGCCGTCTCCGACAACCGCAGAGGGCCTCTCCGAAGGCCTGCCACATCTGCTGCCCTGCCCCCCGGGCGCGCCGCCGAGATTGGGGGAGGGTTCCGAGCGCGTGTGGGGGGTGCGGGACGGGCGCAGTCGGATGGGGTGGCCTGCGCAGCGGACCGATGGCTGAGCCACGTAGATAAAAAAAGGGGCCCAGGGACCGCACGAATAAAAAGACGCACATCCCGGGATTCCCAATCGTTTCACACATGTTATGGAGTCTCGTCGTTCCCTCCACCTCCCATCCCTTCCCATATTTTCCTCGGAATCGAGGATGAGGGGCCGTCTGCGCTGGCGACAAGAACTAGAACGGGGATGCTGTTGAAGCGAATTGTGCCACCATGCAGGGGGGGGGGAGGGCAAAGGAGGCACGCGAGCGCCAACACACACGCTCGCGCGGGGGGCAATGCTCGACGTCTGGGGTTGGGCGCGGCCTGGCAGACCTCGTCCGTGACCAGGGAGCTCACAACAGACGAGGCAACGCGCACGTGCTCCCGAACCCCACGTGGATTCACGCACGTGGAACAGGGAACATGTCGACCCCTATCCCAGGCTTCGTGGGCTTCTCGAATGGACTTGACATTTGGGGTCCAACCCTGGTGTGTGTGTATATATATGTATATATATATATATATACACGACAGGAGGGGGGGGCGTCCATCCTCGACAGGGGTGCGTCCGAAGAGCCCCCTGGGGGGTCTATCCCAGGTTTCCCCTCCCTTTCTGAGCGGTGCCGTGTTGCTCGTCGACACATCGGGGGCTGGGCTGGGGGGAGAAACGGGAAGGAGAAACAGCAGCGGCATCAACATACACTTTTGGCGCTCCGCGCGGATCTCTCGAAGGGCACGCCGCTCCACCGCAGCACGGTCGGGAGAGCAAGAACAGCCTCGATGTTCCCTTCTGACTACCTACCAGACCACCCCAACCCAACCCGAAGACCCGAATTTGACCAGAATGTCGGGTTGGGAGGGGTACGGATACCATGTGTTTTTTCAACGTTCCCCGACCCCCCCCCCCACTGGAAATCGAGGATAAATTTGGGCCTTCGGGTTGGGTTGGGGTGGTTTGGTGGGTGGTGACCTTCGTTCTCGCCTCTGGGGACCCTCGCTGGGCCCTGGGGCCGTCGAAAAACGCGGCTCGAGAGGAAACAAACCGACCCCTGGGGCCAGGGCCGGGACGTTCGGGGACCGCGTAATTACCTACACTTTCGAGGCTCGGGCCGGGCGAGAAGGGGGGGGGGGGGACAGTAAAGGGGGGGGGGGTGAGAATCAGCTCACGTGGCTGAGTTTCGCGGCGCCTCCCGGCGCCGGAGCCGGCCATGTAACGAGGGATGGGCCCCTCGGCGGGGCCGAAACCAGCTGCATGCAGCAGATTTCGTGACCCCCCCTGTCCCTATCCGCCCCTTTCGTTCGGCCCGAGAGACACTGGAGGTCTGGGTCCTCCCCCAGGTATCCAGGGGGCCTGTCCAGATCAGAAGCCATGTCAGAGTCCTTGCGTGGCAGGCCCCGCCAGGCATGCCAGGGGTCGGGCGTGGCACTGCGCGTGGACGGACCTGCTTCGCCAGGGGGGCGTGAGACGAGGGCAGGTGGCATCTTCGTCGGCTCTCCTTGCGCAACGTGCACCTGCCGCTCCACGCTACGAAGCAAGCCTCTGGCCACCTCCGGGCCAGGGGGGTGGGAAAGGGTGCGAGCAAGTCCCCTGCTTCGCAAGAGAAGGAGGAGGTGGAGGAGGAGGAGATTGAGGAGCGAGGAGGAGGAGGCGCGAGGAGGAGGAGGAGGAGAAGGAGGAGGAAGAGAAGGACGAGAAGCGAGGAGGAGGGGGTAAGGCTCCTCCGAGCCCACTCTGCCAATGCACTTCGTACCGGCGTGCCGTCGCCCGCAAGAGAACAGCCTCCGCGGCGGAAGGTGTGGACGACCGACCCTGCAGACGCGGACACTGCGGAAGAGCATCTGTCCTGGGCATGGCGTGCAGGGTGCCCTTGTACGCATCGATGATGGCGACTTGTGCGTTCAGGAGGTTGGCGAACACGTGCGACTGGAATTTCACCTGGGCCGCAGGGGAAGGCCAAGGTCGCGCGCCAACGAAAAAGGCCTGCCCGTGCTGTTCCTGCCCCTCTGAGGGCCACAGTATGCAGGCCTCCTCCTCCGTTGTGTCCTGCCGTGCTCGAATTGACAGTGTGCTCTTCCCTCGCAATGATGGTTCCCAGCAGGACTATTCACTAGCCATGTGTATGTCCGAAGCGGCGTTGTTTATGTCCGAAGCGGCGTTCTCATTCTGATGGTCAACCTCTGAAAACTTGGAACAGCAGTTGTGGAAATGTGTGCACGGGCGAGAGCCATATCAGGCACTAGCAGCCAAAGACCGAGCGGAGAAATTGGCCCGGCGAAGGACCCAACCATATGCAATTGTCCGAAGTTTGGGGGTGAGATCGCAGTGGAACGGAGACCCTCAACGGGGAAATCGTTTCGTTTCGTTCGTGTCGTGCGTGCGGGCGAGGCGAAGCTGCGTGGGCGCGCGAGAGGAATGAACCCGCCGTTGCTAGGGCGAACTCAAAACAAATGATTCTCCTCCGCCCGCCCGTCCGGCGGTGGCTGGCGGTGTCTCGCAGTGTCCCGTGGTGTCCCGTGGTGTCCGCCGTTGCTAGGGCGAAATCAAGACAAATGACTCTCCCCCGCCCGCCCGTCCGGCGGTGGCTCGCGGTGTCCCGCGGTGTTCAGGGGTGTCCCGTGGTGTCCGCCGTTGCTAGGGCGAAATCAATACAAATGATTCTCCCCCACCCCCCGTCCGTCCGTCCGTCCGGCGGTGACTCGCGGTGTCCCGCGGTGTCCCGTGGTGTCCCGTGGTGTCCCGTGGTGTCCAGTGGTGTCCCGTTGAGTGAGATCGATCGTGAGATCGATAGTGAGATCAATGTGGTGCCCCGAAGTGTCCCGCGGTGTCCCAAAAAGTGAAATCGATACTGAGATCGATAGTGAGATCGACAGGTGTCCCGTGGTCTCCCGTTGAGTGAGATCAATAGTGAGATCGACACTGAGATCGATGTGGTGCCCCGAAGTGTCCCGTGGTGTCCCAAAAAGTGAAATCGATAGTGAGATCGATAGTGAGATCGACAGGTGTCCCGTGGTGTCCCGTTGAGTGAGATCGATAATGAGATCGATACTGAGATCGATGTGGTGCCCCGAGGTATCCCGTGGTGTCCCGTGGTGTCCTATGGTGTCCCGTTGAGTGAGATCGATAGTGATATCGAGAGTGAGACCGATAAGGAGATCGAGAAGCGTCCCGCGGTGTCCCGTGGTGTCCCGTGGTGGCCCGTGGTGTCCCGTTGAGTGAGATCGATAGTGAGATCGATCGTGAGATCGACAGATGTCCCGTGGTGTCCCGTTGAGTGAGATCGATAGTGAGAATCGATTGAGTCAGATGTTGGTTCCCCCCCCTCTCCCCCCACAACCTCCTTATCACCCCAAGGGTGGTCGTATAGGTAAATAACGCAAGTGCGAATTTCGTCTTCGGTGAAATTCAAGATGGGGCAACGAAACGTGTGAGGAATGTAACGAAGTGGACGCGGCGGGCGCATGCGAAACCAGCAACTGGGGTCTTCGGTGAAGCTCCCTATGGAACAACGAAGCGTGTGAAGGGTGTGCCGAAATGGGTGCGGCGGGCGCATGCGACCGCAGCCACTGAGGCCGTCGGTGGAGCTCCCTATGGACCCACGAAGCGTGTTAAGGGTGTGCCGAAATTGGTGCGGCGGGCGCATGCGAACGTAGCCACTGGGGCCTTCGGTGGAGCTCTCTGTGGGGCCACGAAGCGTGTGAGGGGTGTGCTAAAATGGGTGCGGCGGGCGCATGCGAACGCAGCACTGAGTCCTTCGGTGGAGCTCCCTATGGAACCACGAAGCGAATGAGGGGTGTGCCGAAATGGGTGCGGCGGGCGCATGCGGACGCAACCACTGGGACATTCGGTGGAGCTCCCTGAGGGGCCACGAAACGTGCGAGGGGTGTGCCGAAACGGGTGCGGCGGGCACGCTCGGACGCAACCACTGGGGCCTTCGGTGGAGCTCCCTATGGGGCAACGAAACGTGTGAGGGATGTGCCGAAATTTGTGCGACGGGCGCATGCGGACGCAGCCACTGGGGCCTTCGGTGGAGATCCCTGTGGGGCAACGAAACGTGTGAGGGAGTTGCCGAAATGGGTGCGGCGGGCACATGCGGATGCGGCCACTGGGGCCTTCGGTGGAGCTCCATGTGGAGCAACGAAGCGTGTGAGAGGTGTACCGAAATGGGTGTGGCGGGCGCATGCGGACGCAGCCACTGGGACATTCGGTGGAGCTCCCTGTGGGGCCACGACACGTGCGAGGGGTGTGTCAAAATTGGTGCGGCGGGCGCATGCGAACGCAGCCACTCGGGCATTCGATGGAACTCCCTGTGGGGCCACGAAACGTGCGAGGGGTGTGCCGAAATTGTTGACTGGTGCGGAGGGCAGAGACTGGAATGGGAGGGAGGAGGAGGGGGAAGAGGAGGAGGAGGAAGATAGACTCGGGGCGCTGTCTCTTCAAAACGAGAACACAACACCAAAAGGTGGTTGAGAAAAACTGCAACTTGCCGAGCACGTGGAATATTTGAATGGCGGCGCATCCAAACCTTCCGAGACGACGTCGGATACCGGAAGTCTGCGCTCGACTGAGTGAGATGAGATGGGTGACCACCAGCCGAAACACCCCAACCCAACCCGAAGTCGCCGTTATGCCTGTCAATTTCCAATGGGGGCATGCCGGAACATCGGAAGAGCACAACGAAACCCATACGCCCCCAAACCACATTTGTTTTTGTGTGTGGGGGGGGTCCAGGATATTCGGGTTGGGCCGGAGTGTTTTTATAAGTCGTGGTGAACGAATGGCGGGTTATACTTGGAGACTCGTCTGTGAGGTCTGGCATGCCCAAAGCCTCCCCGTCGGCGCAGGAGCGGTCGTGCGTGTCTGCGGGCAACGCACCCATGAGCTCCCTGCGAGCAGCAGGCTGCTTCAGGAGACCAGTGTCTGCCTACCAGACCACCCCGACCCAACCCGAAGTCCCAAATTTCGGGGTGGGGGCGTGCGGGCTCCACCATGTGTGCGCGTGTTCTCTCAGTGTTCTACGATGCCCCTCCGCTCTCACAGCGTTCCGGAACGCTCTGGGAAGGCCGCGGCGCCCAGGACATCCTTCAGAGCCGCTGGATCTCAGAGATTCCCGATGTATCCTCACCCAATATTGTCCTCGTCCTGGCCTCGTCTTGCTTTGAGCAGGGACCGACCGTCCCGGCATTCCTATAGTCCTACCAGGAAATGTTCTTAGAACCCAAAACATAACCCGATGTGGTAAAACAAGACAACATTTCGTGGGAACCAAACGGTTCTTAGAAGATTGTTTGGCAGGACTTTAGGCCCGCCAGGACGCTTCACCACTGCTTGATTGGCAGGAGGGCAACCTGGGGCCTTCGTGTTGGGTGGGGCGGCCCGGTGGGCAGGGAGCCAGCGCCCGGAGATGCCGCGCGCAAGGCCGTCCCGAAGAGCCACGCGGACCGCTCCCGAGGAGCGCCGCCGGCCCGCCGTCCGGCCCGCCCCCTCGCGGTCGCCGCGGTGGTGAGGGTGTCGTGGCGGTAGAGCACGAGCAGCAGGATGGCGTCGTTGTTCGGGAGGTCCGAGACGGAGAACGTCCCCGCGCTGGCCTCGCCGACCTCGCGGGGGAAAGCGGCGCCCCGCTGCGTGCGTGCGTGCGTGCGTGCGTGCCTGCGTGCGTGCGTGCGTGCCCGCGTGTGCGGTTGCTTGTGTGTGTGTGAATGTGTGTGTGTGTGTGTGCTGTGTGTGTTGTGCTCTGTGTGTGTGTTGTGCTCTGTGCTCTATGTGTGTGTATTGTGCTCTGTGTGTGTGCGTGTGTGCGAGTGCGTGTGTGCGTGTGCGTGTGCGTGTGCGTGTGCGTGTGCGTGGTTGCGTGTGTGTGTGTGTGTGTTGTGCGTGTGCGTGTGCGTGTGCGTGTGCGTGTGCGTGTGTGTGTGTGTATGTGTGTGTGTGTGTGCGTGTGTGTGTGCTGTGCGTGTACCTTGGCTGGGGGCCCTACAGGAAAGCTGGACAAAGTGGAAATTGGAACATCTGTGAAGGTAGAAGTGGCCAGGGCTGGGAACACTGGCAGTGGGTGAAGCGAGCCCGAAACAGTAGGGATGCGGTCGCCAGGGCTGGAAAAATAAAGGGAAACTGGCGAGGGCTGGAAAGAGTGGAGTGGCTGGCCCCGGTCACTTTTTCCAGCTTCCATGTAGCACGGTGCAATGAAGAACCGTCTGGTGACCTCGAGAGCCCGAAAGACCTCACCGAGCGGTCCGACACCGCCCGCCCCCTTTGGGGCCCTCGGAGGCCCCAACTCGCCCGAGATGTCTCCTCGGAGAGCGACCCGAGTCCCAAAATCGTGCGGTGACACCTCCGAATCCCCACGAGCTCACCACACGGTGTGGTCACCCCGCCGTTCGGGGGCTCCCGAGCTCGGCACTCCGCCAGGACACGCATTGGAGTGCTGCTCTTCCTATCCGCACTTGCGAAATCCCGGCTGGTCGAGCAACGAGGCTGTAGAGCCGAGAGTCGCCAGAGAGCCGGGGGGGCGGCGGAGCGGGGGCGGCGGCGGTGCCCAAACGCTGCTTTGGGGGTCCACCTGCCCGGTCCACCAAGGCCAAAATCATCACAATAAGCATCGCCGCCGCCGCCGCCGTCGTCGTCGCCGCCGTCGTCGTCGCCATCGTCGTCATCGCCGTCGTTGTTGCCGCCGCTGCCACCGCCGCCGCCGCCGTCGTAGTCGTCGTCGCCGCCTTCGCCGCCGCCGTCGCCGTCGTCGTGCATGGCATGCACGGTGCGGTCACAGACCGTGCGGGGACCTCGAAACACCCCAAGACCTTTCTGCACGTCCCGGTCATCGCACGGTCTTGGGACCTCGGAGGCCCCCCAGTCGCCCGAGAGATCCTCGGAGAGCGACCCGAGCCCCCCAAAAACACCGTGCGACCAACCCGAGCCCCCACTGCCTCACCGAAGGGTCTGGTCACCGCATCTCAGGCAGCCCAGCAAGCGGGGGGGCTCCGCACTCCGCCGCGCCATGACACGCGGTGGACCGCTGCTCTTTCTGCTCGCAAGCTGCCAAGGCTCCGCTGGTCCTCAGGCAGTGAGGATCTAGGGTTCGGTCGAGCATGTCCTCCTACAGGCGGAATTTCGAAGAAACATCGAAGCTATGTCAAAACATGCTCAAAACATATTCCAGACAGCCGAAAACATCGTCCCCAGACTATGCTTTGACAACTTTTGTATATTCCTCCTGTAGAGGGACAGGCCCGACTTACAGCGAGGGCAGAGAATCGCCAGAGTGGGATGGGGTGGGGGGGAGGCGGCGGTGCAAGAAGGGCGCTCCGCCGCGCCGCACGCTCCAGAGAGGCGCGGAGCCCTGGCGTGGCAAGCGCCGGGTGTGCTCGGAGGCCCAGCGTGGACTCCCTGAGGGTCTCGGGACCCTCTCCCGGGGGGCCTGCCCATCGGTCGGAAGAGGTAGGTGTAGAAACGTGAAGTAGGAAGGCGTTGGAAGTAGATTGGGCTTCCGCCCGCCCCCTGAAGAGGAGGGACGGAGGAGATCAGTCGGTCCCTGAAGCAGGAAGGCGTCTAACGTAGATTGGGATCTGGGAGTCCAGAAATACCTAGTTTTAATGACCGATGGGTATTGTTTGACACGGGCAATTGTTTGACTGTCATGGGGCCCGCCCAGGGCCCCGAGATGCTGAACGATAGGAAAGCATAACCTTCCGAGGGACCCAACCCTCAGCAACTTCGGGTAACATTAGTGGTGAACCTCTCCATGCACTGCCCTCTGTGGGGACGCACGTACATGAGGAGCTCCCTGAGGAGCTCGAAACATGTGAGGATACGCCGGAAAGCGTGGGGGAACGCAAGCGATGGGAAACGCGTAGGGCTTTAGGTGCGGCTCCTGTGCAAGGTGTGCCGACACGGACGGAAGTACTTCAGCAAAATTTCCCTCTGACGCCAATGTGGAGCTCTCATATGAGGCCACGACCCGCGTGAGGATTGCGCCGACATGGGCGGCGCCGCCATACAGACCCTCCCACTAGGGCCGTATGTGAAGATCCCACGTGCGGCCACGGTCCGCGTGAGGGGTGCGCCGAAATGGGCGGCGCCACCTTGCGGGTTCTTCCGCTGGGGCCGCAGGTGGAGCTTCCAATGGGGCCACGATCCTTGTGATGAGTGTGCCGAAGTGGACGGCGTCGCCATGCGGACCCTCCTGATGAGGCCGTATGGGGAACTCTGATATGAGGCCACGGTAATCGTGGCACATGCGCTGAAATGGGCGGTGCAGCCATACGGACCCCGTCATTGGGGCCAGAGGTGGAGCTACCCATGTGGCCACGATCCCTGTGAGAAGTGCGCCGAAATGAGCGGCGCCGCCGTGCCAGCCCCTCACTGGGGTCGTCGGTAGAGCTCCTTACGGGGCCACGGAACGTGTGAGCGGTGTGCCGAAATTGGAGCCCTCGACGAAACCACGAAACGTGTGATGTGTGTGCAGAAACGGGATGGGGCACCGCATGCGGTCGGTTCCACTGAAGTCTTCGGTTGAGCTCCCCTTGGGGCCACGGAGCGCGAGGGGCGTGGCAAAATGGTCGAGGGAACCCCAAGCGGTTGGTCCCACACAGGCCGCCGGTGGAGCTCCAAATGCGGCCACGGAACGTGTGAGAGGTGTGCCGAAATTGTCGGGGGGGGGGGACCGCATGCTGATCCCACTGAGGCCCTCGGTGGGGCCCCCCCCTGGGGCCACGCAGCGCGAGGCGTGCTCCCTGTGGGACCACGAGGCGTGTGACGGGGTGCGCGGAAATAGTCGGGGGGGGGCCGCACGTGGTCAGTCCCGCTGGGGCCTCTGGTGGAGCCCCGTGTGGGGGGGGGCCACGAAGCGCCTCCGGCACCGCTCCGTGAAGACCCCTGGCGCGGGGGGGCGCGCCAGGATCACGCGCATGCACCCGCACGCACGGAAGCCAACACACCAGGAGACGGAGCCAGCTAGCGCCTCGAGATGTCGCATTTGCTCGTGACGTCGGCGTCCAGAGTTCTCGGACCCGTCCCCCTGGGCCCTTTTCTATACATGATTCGTTGTTTCACGGTCCGGGAAATGGCCCCTGGAGGCCGAAAACGCCGAACAACCTTCCGTCACGATTGTCGGCGCGTCTGGTGGAGTCCACCAGTGCTGCAAGACCCCCTGCGACCTTGAAGTCAATCTTGTCTCCCGCCTGCAGACCAGAGGTGAAGTCCGTGCAGCTCGGGTACGGCATCGGCTGGTCGGCTGTGAGCTTCTCGCTCCTGGTGAACGTTTTCTTATTCGGCGTTTCGACATTGGGCGCAAGGGGGGGGGGTCTGGCTGCGGACCTCTGCTTACTGCGACTGTTTGCAACAATGCGTCCCATGGGAGACTCCACCTGCCTGACACAGGCGCCAAAAAACAGCCAAGAGCTACTCCGTGTGGGGGGGGGGCGGGGGGGGGCGAGGGCCCGCGCTGATCGGCAAGACAATGCATTAAAAAACAACGACCTGACAGGTTACCGCGAACCGCCCCGGCCCATGCTTCAGACTACAGGGACCACGGTCGGGAACCGTTGACTCCGGGTGTCGCGGCGGCAGCCCCGGAGACACCTTACGAAAGCTGAAGGCGTGTGTCGCTCTGCTCCGCTGGGCGGGGAGCTGGGAAAAGCTCGGAGCGGTGATGGCTTGGGATGGATGGCGGCCGCCTACTGCGGGAGAGGCTCGGAGCGGTGATGGCCTGGGACTGGGAGGATGGGGGCGGGAAAGGCCGACGCGGTGCGGAGGAGGAGGAGGAGGAGGAGGAGGAGGAGGAGGAGGAGGAGAAGGGTAGGAGGGCGATGGATGGCGGGAAGGAGCGGTGATGGCTTGGGACTGGGACGTGGTTAGCGCGTCGCGCACCTGCGCGGTGGGCCAGAACCGGCGGCGCGACACGCTAGGCAGAGGCTCTCGACCGTAAGGGAGACGTACCAGCATCAGGTCGGACATGTCCTCCTACAGGCGGATTTTGGAGAAATAGACGTAGCCAAGAAATGCTCCAACAAAATCAAAAGAGCACGAAAAGTCGTCACCAGACTATGTTGAAACTATTCTTGAGCATTCCTCCTGTAGAGGGACAGGCCCGACTTCATACCAGCAGGGCTGTCCCCTGTGGCATGTACCCGAACTGATGCCTGTTGTCTCCCAGCCACATCCATAATCCCATGGTAAGCGTGTTCTTACTCGGCGTTTCGACATTGGGAGGGAAGGGGGGGGAGGGGGGGGGGTCTGGCTTCCGGACCTCTGCTCGATGCGACTGCTCGCAACAGTGCGCCCCATGGAGGGAGAGACCCCAGCTGCTTGAAACAGGCGCCCAAAACAGCTAAGATGCACTCCGTGGGGGGAGGGGGAACGTACATGGACATTATACTCGAACCCTGTGGCCCAACATGCCCCCCAGACCCCCCGAAATTAATATTGACGGCGTGGCGACGGGGGAGGACGTAAGTGGACAGAATCGAACCCCAAAGCACCGCCTTAACTGAGATCAGCATTGATGTCGGGGGCGTGGAGGTGATTTAGAATCTCCCTCGAATGTGGAAGGGTTCGAATATGTAGTGTCCATCTACTGGCCCGCGCCGATCGGCAAAACAATGCATAAGAAAACGATCACCATGCCCGCGGCCCCCCGAGCCTGCTTCGCGCCTCGCGCGCCGCACAAAGATGAGCGCGACGCGCGAAGCGCATGGAGCGCGGCCACCTTCGCGCTCGCACGCCGCCCCCCCCCCTCGGCATTGTCTGCTCGGCATCAGTGCCACAGCGTCGACGGGAGGCAGAGCATCTCTACATCATGAGTGCTTTTGCTCGAACCCGCTGAGCAGGCAAGGACACAGCCAAAGGCAGCAGAGTCCTGGCCGAGCATCAGGTCCTCGTCGCCAGAGCGCGTGTGTTGCCCCTTCCCCCCCCCCCCCCCCCGAGAAGGGGCACGGTCTCCGATCGGGGCAGCCGGGCGCGGCCGTCTCTCCTCCAGGGAGAGGCCAGCAAGCCGAAGAAACGAATCAAAACGCCAAGAACTTCGCGAGGACCTCTCGGGTCGACCATGGGCCCCCGCGCTGCCGCGCCCTCGAGACCCGCGTGCACGGGGGCGAGGAGTGCGGACAGGGCTCGTGCCCAGACCCACTGCAGCTTGGAGTCTCGGGCTCCCTTCCCCAGAGCCCCGGGGGGGCACTGGACTTGGATAGGAATCTGGCCCCCATGGTGGCCAGATGTTTGTCCATCTCCAGTGCGCCTCGGCCCTGCGGTGCCCCTTCCGAGAAAGTCCAAGACGCACTGGATGTGGATGTAAAATCATGCCCGCAAAGATGGGCGAAGAGCACCCGCCGCCGGGCCCCTGCGGGGGTGCCAGGGCCCCCGGGCGGCGGCGAGTGCCGGCCGCCACACACCGAGGCTGCGCGGCGGCAGACTGCGACGGAGCCGAGAGCCGAAGGGGCAACCGAGCGGCTCAAGCGTCCCATGGCCGAGCGAACTACAGCAGGCGCTCGACCGCAAGAGACCTTCCACAGGAGACCCAACCCTGAGAGCTCAGGACGTCCATTGCTCTTTGGGGTGGAACGTCACGTCTTCCATAGCAAAACCATCGAAACCCGGGGCACCCTGGAGGCAAGCAGGGATTTTCTCGGCACGGGTTTCCACTGCAGCTGGCAGTCTGTGCGCCCGAGGGGGGGCCGCACGGCCGGACGCAGCCATCGGAGCGCCGAGTGAAGACAGTGGTCGTGGCACGTCCTGGTCGAACGTCCTTCGAGCCGACACGAGACGGTTATCGAAGACAGGCGCATTTTCACCGATTCAGGTAGGCTTCGTCGTGCACTTTCTCACGAACCAGGAGCCGAAGGGCAACTGGGTGCGGGACAACACTCTTAGAGCAGAATGCATTCGCATGCACTTGCGGAACTCCGCGCGGCTTTCTTGGGTCTGCGCTGGGCCCCCCCCTGACGGCATCTCTGGCGCTGCCCCTGGCGCGCTCCGAGTGCAGAGTGCCAGGGAAGGGGGTTGAGCGCCGATCCGAGAAACCCGCGCGGACCTCCGCAAGTTATGTTTACACAGTTCTTGTTGCCATGACCACTGAGCATCGAGGTGGGGCCAGAGAGATGCCCTCCTTGCCCGGGTACGCCTCTCTCAAGGAAAGCGGACAGGGGCGATCCAAATCTCCAAGGTCCTAGTGTGCCCAAGCCTTTGCTGGCAACTCCCCACCACACTGTACCCCCCCCCCTCGGCCACTTTCTCGATCGTTGGCGTGCGTCGTTTTACAAAGCAAAGCAACATACAACGAACCACAAAACGGATGGCAAGATGAGAGAAGCGCGGGGCGGGAGGATGAACGGCATTCAAATGAAGGGGAGGTGGTTAACAAACAAGATGTGTAGCTTGTCCAGGCCATCAGGCCTGCGACAAGGCACTTCACTATTGCCCTGTATCTCTCTCTCTCTCGTTATCTTTCTCTCTCCGTCTCTCTCGCTATCTCTCTGTCTCCTTGTTCCTGTGTGACTCTCCCTCCCTGTGTAGATATATGTATATATATAGATGTATATATGTGTACGCATGTGCCAATGCCAGACAAACTTGGACGCGCGTCCAACTCAGAAGAGCCGTCAGACATGTGTGTCTCTGTCTCGTTCTCTCTCTCTCTCTCTGTCTATCTCTATATATGTATATATATATGTTATCTCTGTCGACCTCTCGTGTATGATTATAATACGTTTGCACGACAGTGTCGTATATTGTGCTCTGAACGATTACAGCACGGCATTATGATAAACATGTAGTCTAGTATAGCTGTCATGCCATAGTATTTGCCGTGGTACTAAATATGTTTCTGTTATTCCATATCACTCTCAAACACAGCACATCGCATAATGATATACTGCATGACAGTATACTGTACTGTTCCATATCAGTTGTATTCGCAGCATGTTAAAGCATGGTGCTTGAGACTGCAGGGTAAACTAAACTGTTACAGTGGGTTACAGTGTATGATTGCATGATGTCTGGCAATACATCCTATTATCCTATAGCGTAGTAGGTTATCTGCGATGATATGTTATGAACATATTTACTATTAAAGTGTGCTCTCGAGTGCAGTATATGGTGATAGCTCTCAGTAAATGATACTATCGTACAGTTTCATGGGTTGTATTGCATAAACTATGGGAGAATGCGAGAACAGATGATCAGGTATGATACTACATCGAGAGACATGTCTCACTCCCTCTTTCTCCCTCTCTCTCGGCCTCTTCCTCTCCTGTTATATGTCTCTCTCGCTTGATGGTTGTTCCTCTCTCTCTATCCGTCTCTGCACCTGCCTCACTCAACGCCTGCAAGCGTCAGACCTCATCATGCCGTCTCCTCATCGATTTACCGTCTCGTCCTCCCACCCATAGAAAGAAAGGCGGTCGCCCGCGAACGTACACGTCCATGGCGGAGGCATACGGGTAGGCGTTGCAGACGCGCAGGCGGTGCCTGAACCCGTGGGCGATGGAGCGGGAGCCGTGGACGTGTCCGTGATGCGACCTCGGAGGCACGATCTCTCTCTCCCCCGAAGGCTGGCGGCCCCTCCGATGGCCGACGGATGCGCTATCCCCCAGCCAGAGGGGGGGGGAGGGGAGGGAATGGAGAGGGCAACCAAGGAACCGAGCTCTGCGAATCGCGCCCGGGATGTGCGACCCGCGCCGGCCGCGAGACTCCGGCAGAAACCCAGACCCAGAATCCCATGGGTTTCGACGGACTTGGGATCTGGAGACCGCAGGGTTGGCGCATCCGACGTGGGTAAAGAACAGGACATGTACGATGCCCAACAACTAGATGTGACCCAACACCATCGGCGGCCTCTGTTGGGCAGCGCGCTTGTTGTCCTCAGTGGGCAACGGCCGCGGCAACACACACAGCGAGTCCTGCTAAAAAGGGGTATGAACTGGTGTCGGTCGCAAAATCAATGCCAATTCCGATTCCTCATTCTTTCAGTGCCCCATTCTGATCTCCCAGCCTGAAAATACCCCAGCCTCCCTTCCTTCATGCTCGCTCCTTCAGACGATTAATTATGTTCGCTCTTCATGCTCGCTCCGTCATGTTTCCTCTTCATTCCCCTCTCCCGTTGTGATGTTCGCTCCTTCAGTCGAAGAAATGCTGGAAATCCCAATTCCTTCCGTACACGTGGTTCACTTCTAATCGTGCTCGTTTCTGATTGTGCTCGTTTCTAAATCGTTCCTGGCCCCCTGGTGGCTAGGAAGAGGCCCAGGATGGAACAATTAGAAATGAGAGGACCTTGGCCCCCCAAAAATCAACTACTTTTCGAAGAATCAGACATGAACAATGTGTGTACCTCCTCCCGGCCGTGCCGACCTCGGAGGCGACGATGGGGGCGAACGGCCCGGGGGAGAGAGGCGCCGATGGCCTCCACGCCTCCCTGCGAGGCTCCCGGGGGAACGCCCGTGTGACTGAGGAATGAAAAATCGCCCCTGCCCTGGGTCACAAGTGCGTGGTCTGTAAACCTCGTGGGAACCCCCAAAGCCTGGAGAGCCGCCAGGACGCCGCACACCACGCAGGGTTTACCCTGTCAGCCCACAGGAGCTTCAGCAGAGCACAGCGCCTCGTAAACCAGGGTAGGGGCGTTTTTTGATGCCCTTGATCTTAAGGCCCACTCATGGGCGAGCCGCCCTTACAGTTAGATCGTGCATGTCCCCCTACAGACCGATTTTGGACGAAACATGGAAAATACAAAAAAATGCTCGAAAGTACTCGAGAATACTAAACAAATCGCCCCCAGACAATTTGTTTTGAGTATTTTTGAATACTCCCCCTGTAGAGCGACACCCCCGACTTGACCCTACAGCAAGAGCTCGACCACAAAAGACCTTCCACGAGAGAGCCCACGGATTCTGGGTGTGGGAGCGCCACGCTCTCCACAGCAAGACCGCCGACACCCAAGAAACCCCCGGGGCACCCTGGAGGCAAGCAGGGTGTCTCTTGGCATGGGCCTCCACTGCATCCTCGCCTCCGACGATCCATCCGTCGAGGGACCCCATCGAGGCCAGGGAGGGCCAGGGCAGCCCGGCGCGAAGCGCAGGACGGCCTCCGGGCGCCTCTCCCGCCCCGGCATCCGAGCCCACCCGCCCGCCCCGGCGGAGAGCGTCGGCAGAGGGGGAGGGCAGGTGACCAGCGTGGGATGAGGCCTCGGGCGCGCAGCGAGGACGAGGGCGGGGAGGAGCAGCATCCCGAGGAGCCGAACTCTACACCCCGACGCTCGTTCGCCGGCCCCGCACTGGCAACTCGCACAGGATACGGGATCCTGGTGTCCCCGTGTTTTCTGTTGTTTCCCCAGGAATGCGGGGGTATAAGTATACACCACACCACCCCGACGTCGTCCCCGACCCTCAAACGAGTCCTGGGATTGAAACACAGCCCGCCAATGGTCAAGTATGTGCTCGAAGGGCGGGGCGGGAAAGGGGGCGGGTGCGGAAGGCGCTTCCTAAGCTAGGCTGCTGAGTGGTGGAGGGGAGTGCCGCCCGAGTTTGTACCCCGTCTGTGACTGGCTCTTTGCAGCCGAGCGTGCGGAAAGGGGGGGCATTCGCGTTTAACTGTCAGGGGCAAGACTCTTGGATGGGCCAGAGACGAACTACTGCGAAAACATTTGTCAAAGCTGCTGTCGTGGATCAGGAAAGACGCGTTAGGGGATCCAAGACGATCAGATACCTTCCTGGTCGTAGCCACAGACCATGCCAACTCGAGATTGGAGCTCGTTGTTTGTAAGACCTATTCCGCCCCTGATGAGAAATCAAAGTCTTCGGGCTCGGGGGGCAGGGGGGGGGCGGGCAGTGGGCGGATGCGTAAGAGGGGGCTAGTCGTAACCATACACCATGCCGACTCGAGATTTGAAGTCGTGATTTGTAAGACTCAGTCAAATCAGAGTCTTCGGGCTCGGGGGGGCACGGGGGGGGGGCGGGCAGTGGACGGCTGCGTTAAGAGGGGGGGGCGGCTGGAGGAGGGCAACGACGCGCCGCGCCGCTTGCATCAAGGGGTCTGCACCACACGGGTTCATCCCATACACATCCAGGAATGCAAGAACACACTATCTTTAGGTCGGACATGTCCTCGTACAGGCGGATTTTGAAAGAAGAAAGGTCGACCAATACTAAACATTAGTCCAACAATAATCTACAACTCGTCACCATACTTTTTGTTTGACTATTCTTGGACATCCCGCCTGTAGGGAGACGGGCCCGACTTAACACGATTTGAGTCCGCGTGAATCTATATGCACAATCTGTACGTGTGGCTCCCTGGAGCCCGAATGCATCCCTGTCCGCTGCTTCCCGAGGTCCTGCGAGATATGGCGAATTTCACAAAACCCTGAACCCAAAAACGTTGTCATCTCTTGGGCGCGCATCTTTTACTCCCGCCGCCTTCCACCGACCTTCCGCAAGCGGAGGCGGCCTCGTGCTGCTTCCGCCGGCCTTTTGCTTCCTCCGCCTTCCGCCGCGCCTCCGCCGAGCCTCCGCCGGCGGAGGCGGCCTCTTTCTTTACTTCCGCCGACCTTCCGCCGCCTTCCGCCGGGGAAGAGATGACAACTCGGCTCGTGATTCTGGCCGGGCGAAAGGGGGCTCACGTAGCTGATTTTCCCGGCGCCCAAGGCGGCCATGTACCGAGGACTGGGCCCCTCGGTGGGGCCGAAGCCAGCCGCACGCAGCAGATTTCGTAATCCCCTACCCTCTGCGACAAGCCCTCGGACAGGGACGCCCTACGTACCCTCAGATAGGGACGCCCTGCTTACAGATCCTCTCTACGACGTGCCCTCTACTTTCTACGACAAACCCCCTTTCCCTGTCCCCCGCCCTTCGTTCGGCCCGAGTGATGGGCCGTCTCGTCGTCGTCGCCGTCGTCGTCGTCGTCGGAGGAGGAGGAGGAGGAGGAGGAGGAGGCACAGCGTTCCCCTAGGAGGAGGAGGAGGAGGAGGAGGAGGAGGAGGAGGAGGATCGCCCCTCGGGGCTCGATCGGGGCCCCCGTCGGGACTCCGTCGGGAGCTGCGGAGGGGGGCGCCCTCGGACGCCGGGGAAGCAGCATACGGCGCCGCAGGGGCTATCCCTGGCAGGGCGCACGCCGGGGAGGAGCGAGCGGCGACCGCTGGAGGACACCTTCGCAGACGTCCCGAGTCTTCGTTCTTCCAATGCAGTCGGGGCGTTGACCGAAGGAACCCTGAATAAGGAACGAGGCCCCTTGTTCCCATGAGTCACACTTCGATACCCCATGGGAAAACCACATGAAAACCAAAGGCAAGCTGTAGAACAATCAAGGAACACCGAGCCCCTCCCCATCGAAAAGGGTTCCTTCTTCAGCGCCCCGACTGTACGGGCTCTTTGAATTATGCAGGGGCCGACCGTCCCGGCATTCCTCCTAGTCCCACCACGAGATGTTCTTGGAACCCAGAAGTGTTCTGAGAACAAAGCAATGTTCTTAGAAGAGAAGCCCGATATGATAAAACAAGACAGTCCCAATCAGACATGTTCTAAGAACATTTCGTGGGAACCACAAAAGGTTCTTAGAACATTGTTTGGTAGGACTATAGGAGCGCCAGGACGCTTCGCCACTGCTTGATTGGAAGCCCCGACCCTTCCACCAGGGCCAGCGTTTCATCCCGAACAGTTGTTGGACGGCCCCGGGGCCCGGCGAGGGCCCCCGCAGACCAGAAGCGGCCAAAACCCTTGCGTCGCGAGCGAGCATGTGTGGGTTCAGACGGGCCACGGTGCAGGCCGGCAGTCCACACGAAACCTTCCACAGGAGACCCCGCCCTGGGACCCCAGGACGTCCATCGATTTCTGGTGTGGGTAACCGTCACGCCTTCCGCAGCAGAACCGCCGAAACCCGAGAAACCAAAGGTAGGGAGCCCACAAAGGACGTACGCGCCCAGCTATGTACATGAACACGGCCCCTCGATTCGCGAGACCGGCCGCGTTATACGAACATTTGTGCAATGCGTACTCTCGAAACCAGCGTGGATTCATGTACATGTACGTCCTTCTTTCGCTCCTGAAAAGGGCGCCCCGGAGGCCACCACGGGGTGCCTCCCGGCGTGGGCCTCCGCTGGGACACTCCGGGCCGATCTGTCGCGGGAAGGCCAGCGGCGGCTGACCTCCTGCCGCCGTGGTGGTGCCCGCTCTCCTCCAGCAGCGCCTGCCCCTGCGGGGAGGGGGCGCTGGCTCGTCGGGTGGGGGGCGAGGCAGAGAGAGAGTGTGAGAGAGAGTGAGCGAGCGAGAGGCAGAGAGACAGAGAGACAGAGCACGAGAGAGAACGACAGACAGAGGCGTAGGGAGAGAGAACGAGAGAGATAGAGAGAGATAGAAAGAGAGAGATAGAAAGAGAGAGAGAGAGAGATAGGAACAACAAAAACTAAAACAAACAAATGCAAGAAAGAGAGAGAGAGAGAGAGATTTAATACTCACCACATACTCTCACAGGACTGCGCCCGGCACGGCGGAGGTGCACTGGCAGCGAGGGCCACGAGGCGGGCGTGAGCCGGGAGGGCCGGCGTGCTCCGCGAGCCAGGGTGCTCAGCAGCTCGGCGCCAGGCACCGCGCGCTCTCCCTGGGCCACAGCCTGCCGGCCACGACGAAGAGGGGGGCCCCGAGGGCAGCGGGGCCCCCCAGGGCCCCAGGGCTTCTCCTCCTCCTCCTCCTCCTCCTCCTCCTCCTCCTCCCCCTCCTACTGGGACTTCTTCGAAGTCAAGCAACTGTTTTTGTTCTGAACCTCAGGGGAAAAATCCGACAGCCCTGGGCCGGGGCAGGGCCCCAGGGGGCCGAGAGCAAAAGAAGAGCCACAAGACACCTTTCCACCAGGACCCCATCTCCGTTCGCGGTAAAGCCACAACTGGCCATCGCTCGGACGTCCATTCCCTATATTTTTGTTCGGTTTCGTGCGTGGCTTTTTCGCAGGATGATCCAGGATGATCCTTAATAATCCCCGCCGAGAAAAAGTACACACGTCCGAGCGATACCAAGACAAAGCTTCGAGTGCCACCGCCGCCTGGGGGCTCGCTGTGTGCCGAGCGAGGGCAGAAAAAGGTGCCTCACGAAGCCACGGCGCAGGGCTCGGCCGACGTGTTGGGCTCCGAGCGCGGCTCGACAACCAGGAGAGGAGCACTGCCAGCGTCTCGCCATCGCTCGGACTTCCATTCCCCGTGCGTTGTTCGATTTCGCGCGTGTAATTTCCGCTATATGATCAACGATGTTCCTCGATAGTCCTCACCGAAAAAACACACACGTCCGAGAGTGGCCAAGGCGTACGACAGCCGAGCGTGCTGGACCAGAGCCCGGTGCGCTGGCGAGGCTTCGGGCTGCGCGCAGGCAGCGCCGGGTAGTCGTCCCAGCTGGCCTCGACATCGGCTACACATCCAAAAGAGGCCCTTGGCAAGAGAGACCTCTCTGCGCAGCTTTCGGGGGGCGCGGGTGGGGTGGGGTGGGGGGGGCGGAAGCTCAAGCGCACAAGCCAATGTCCAATGCTGGGGAGAGCCCCGCGGCCCGGCACCAAAAGGTCACTCTGGCAACAGGTCGTTCCTGCGCGCGCCTGGTCGGCAAGCGCCATCAGCAGTCGGGGGGGGGGGTTAAGACCGCCCTGGGCTGCTCGGGGGGCCTGCTGAGGCCAGCCCAGACTACCTGGATGATGCTGCTCGTGCGCAGCCCAAGGCCTTACAGCAGGTTCGCGTCGTGACGACTTTGGCGTTTTTTTTTACACCGCGTGGATCGTTCCTCCTGAAACGATCGGCGGATTTTCGATCGCCAGTTCATCCTACAATGGCTGATTCCGTGCTAGGCGGCGCTCAACCTTGAACGCCCGCGCTGCCGCCGCCGCGTCGACACGACACGAACCTGCTGGGCCCCAGCACTTGGGCTCCTCGCGCGGATGTCGGCTTCTCGTGGGAGAGGAAGCCTGCGATCACTCGCGAACCCCACCCCCGCGGGTCCAATCGACCCTGGGGTATCTAGGGGATCCCAAGACGGTGCGGTGACAAACCCAATGACCTCACGGAACGATCCGTCACCGCACGGTCTTGGTACCCTGGAGGCCCCGATCGCCCATGACATCCTCGGCGAAGCCCCCTCGGGAGAGAGAAAGCGGGGGGCCGCTGAAGTAGGAAGGCACCAACTATACACCAACAGCGATCCTGGCCAGGATCCTGGGCCCAGGATCGGTATACGGTATACGGCCTCCTGCCTTGAGCAAAAGGCACACGCACCGATCCTAGGCCCAGGATCGGCCTGGCCTGGAAGGTGTAGGTGTCTAGTTGGTGCCCTCCGATGAACGCCCGAGTCCCGCGCGGGCCTGCCCGTGCCGAAGCTCGTCGGCCCGGGCCCCCAGCGCCAGGGCGGCGCCCACCGCCGCGAGCAGCTGTGGCCGAGGGGCCGCCCGGGGCCTCGGCCGTTCGCGCGGCGCGGGGCGGGGCGGCGCGGGCACGCGGCGCGGGAGAGGCAGACACGAGACGCACTCACCCCAGAAACGAAACGGCGCGTTTTCGTAGCTTTCGGACCCTGGGGGCCTGAGGCCCGAGGAGGAGGAGGAGGAGGAGAAGGAGGAGGAGGAGGAGGAGGAGGAGGAGGAGGAGGAGAGTGACCGGGGAGTGACCGATGGGCACCATGTGCCGTCCCGCGAGGCCCCTGGAGTGCAGAAGGGCAGGGGCCGTCGCACGTCCAGGGCAGCGCGCTCGGCGCAGGAGGAACACGAGCCTACGCACCGAGCCGAGGCGCAGGAGGAACACGAGCCTCCGCGCCTCGAGGGGGGGCAGGAGGAACACGAGCCTCCGCCCCCCCCACGCTCAGCCCAGCATGCTTTGGCCGCCGAAGACGACCGCGACGCACGAGCTGAGCAACCCGAGTACTGGAACACAGACTTGTCCCCCAGCACGTTGACCACCGCTGCGCATCGGCCTCCCTGAGGTCGCAGCCGTGGTCACTTCACCACAAAGCTGGCATAGTCCAAGAGTCCCTCGTCGAAGGCCTGCAAGGTGGCCTTGTCTACGGCCTCCTGGGCACTCGACAGCAACTTCTGGATGGTGGCCACCTCCTGGACCGCCCTCTGGATGTCGCGGAGCTTCTCAGGCTCCTTCTCGCAGTACTCAAGCCAGGCACGTAGGCCAGGAACCGCCCCCTCCTGGTCGCCGCCCTCGGCCTCCTGCTGCTTCTGCTCCTCCTCGTTGACGTCCTCCACGACCTTCTGGAGCTTGATCTCCATGCCAGGAACCGCCTCCTCCTGGTCGCCGCCCTCGGCCTCCTGTTGCTTCTGCTCCTCCTCCTTGATGTCCTCCACGACCTCCTGGAGATTGAGCCCCAGCTCGTGGAGCTTCCCCTCCACCGCCTGCATGCGGTTGGCGTCGAACCTTTTCGGCGGCGTGTGCTTGACCTCGCCCTGGGCCTCCTGCACCACGCCGCTGGCCTGGGGCAGCCCCAGCGCGTTCACGACCTGCTCGGCGAGCGTGCCGCCGGGATGGGCGACAGCCCTGCGCCCCTTGTTGCAGGCCTCCACCCTGCGCACCAGGCCTTTCTGGCCCCGCTGGACCACTTCCTGCTGGATGACCTGCGCGGTCGGCTTGGAGCCTTTATCCCAGGCAAAGGCACGGCCAGCCAAGGTACACAACCCCTCGAACTTCTCCACCGTATGGGAGTCCTTCTTGTGGTCACCTGCATCGGTAAGCGCCGCCTTCGCTGCTTCCGCAACCGCCACTTGCAGAAGTCGTTCCGTCGAGGCTCTGCGGGTCACCAGACCAGCCAGGGCGAGGGGATCGCGCGTCGCGCGGGGGGAACCGGGCCAAGAGCCAAAATGGCTTGAGCCAAAATGGGCACGGAAGAGGAAGAGGAGGAGGAAGAGGAGGAGGAGGGGGAGGAGGAGGAGGAGGAGGAGGAAGAGGAGGAGGAGGAAGAGGAGGAGGAGGAGGAGGAGAAGGAGGAGGAGGAGGAAGAGGAGGAGGAAGAGGAGGCGGTGGCCCTGGGAAATGCTGCGCCGAGCGAATCAGGACATCGGATGTCCAGGTTCGGGCCCTGCTCGCTCCGCTCCGCGTCCCTTCCCTTTCCCGCTCCTCCAGGGGCGGAGCACGGGCCACCACCACCGGGAGCTTCCTCGCGGCGGGGGCCGACCCCGGGGCGGTGGCGTGCCCGAGCGCCACCCAGCATGCAGCACGACGATTGGGCTCGCTATACCGCCCAAGGGCCGCCCCCCCCCCCCTTCCCCCGATGGGCGCTCGGTGGCCTTGGCCCGTGCTCCTCCGCAGAGCACTGCTCCGCCGCGCGCTGCTTCCCAGCGTCGCTGCTGGGCTGGGGCGGCGCGCGGCCCCCCGATATCGAAACATCCCCCGACTTGAAGCCTTCGGTCCGGGGCCGCAGCCGGGGTTTCCTACTACCCCTTGCGAAGGTACTTTCCGGTCCGTCGGCGGGCCCCGGCAGCCGAAATCGAAGAGAAACGCCAGGATTGAAACATCGGATCGTCGGAGGTCCGGGGCCGCACGTCGTGCGCCACGTCGGCGCCCGGACCAGCAAGCAGCGCGACGCGCTCGAACTCCCTGCGGGGCGGCAAACCGGCGGCTCGGCACGCGCGACGCAGCGGCACCTGCGAGGAGGAGAGGGCGGCGCGCCAGCGCCCCTTGAAGGCGGGTGTCAGTTTGTGACTCGCCGGTGCAAGCGGAGCGCGTGATTCAAAAACTTGCTTTCCTGCTCGGGCGAATCGCGGGGGGCACGGCGGCGGCGCCGGTGATCAGCGCCGGCGCCCGGCCGACAGGAGGGCGACAGGCGCGACACAAGCGGCGCCGTGTCAGCGAAGGGGGCAGCAGCGCCTCCCCTACAGCGGGGCGTCTGGGCAAAAATGGTTATAAAGACAACAGAAAAAAAGGGAGGCGGGGGACAGAGGCGCCTCCGCTGGTGGGCGGTGCCCACATGGCTACTGACAAACGGGGAAAGGAAGAGGGGGAAAGGACAAGTCGAGGCGAAGGGAAAGGGCGCCTCCGTTTCTTTGTCCCTCCTCCATGTGGGGGGGTGGCGCGGGAGTGCAGAAACGACGACGACGACGACGACGGCGACGACGACGACGACGACAACAGCGACGACGAAGACGGCGGCGGCGGCGGCTGCGGCGACAGCGACGGCGACGGCGACGACGACGACGACGTCGACGGAGATGGCGACGCCGATGGAGACGGCGACGGCGACGGCGACGGCGACGGCGACGACGACGGCGACGACGACGGCGACGACGACGGCGACGGCGACGGTGACGACAACGGCGACAACGACAACAGCGGGGCGACGATGGCGAGGACGACGCATTGCGGATGCCCCATGGACGGGGCTGCGCAAGCCCGCCGATGCAGCCGACGACGATGACGACGACGAAGACTCACCGAGGGCGGCGACGACAAAACGACGACGACGACGACGACGACGACGACGACGACGACGACGACGACGACGACGACGACGACGACGACGACGACGACGGCGCGGGCGACGGCGACGGCGACGGCGACGACGGTGATGGTAACGGCGACGGCGACGGTGACGGCGACGGCGACGGCGATGGCGACGGCGGCGACGACGACGGCAGACGACGACGCACCGCGGATGCCCCACAACAGGGGAGCTGCGCTGCGAGTTCCACTGCGGTCAACGACGACGACGACGAGGACGACCGACGACCCACGACTGACGACCGACGACCCACGACCGACGAAGGACGACCGACGACGACGACGTCAACGAAAACGGCGACGGCGACGGCGACGATGACGACGCTGACGACAACGCGACGACGATGGCGTCTACGACAAAGTGCGGATACTCCATTTGGGAAGGCTGCGTCAGCCCGCCGCTGCAGTCTACGACGACGACGGGTGACGACGACGACGACGACGACGACGACGACGGCGACGGCGACCACAACGACAACGACGACGACGCGAGGACGACGGCGACAACGACGAGACAACGACGACGAAGACGACCACGACGACGCGACAGCGACGACGACGACGGCGACAACGACGAGACGACGACGACGCACTGCGGATGCCCCTCGGAGGCGGGGGGGGGGGCGCAGGGGAGCCGCGCAGGCCTGTAGTCGACAACGACGACGACGACGAGACTGTGACACGTCTGCAGTCAGCCTGAAAGGGGGCAGAACTTCGCCTCGGATGCATACGATCCCTGGAACAGCTCCACTACAACAGGCCATCGTTTTGAGGCTGCCGTGCAGGGGGGTGCACGATCCCCGCGGCGGCGCCCGCGACGACCCTCGCGGGCGCCGCCGAGGTCTTCTCATCAGCCCCTAGGGGGGGCGTCAATTGCTAATCACAAGCTCGCCTGCTTTTTGTTGGGGCACAGACATCGCACTACCACAAGGAAGGCTGATGAATCAACGGAGGGGCTTTGCTGGCCACGGTGGCCCTCTGCGGCGAAGAGGTCCCCCGACCTGGACCCAAAGAGCGACCCGAGAACGAGAGCCCCTCCTGAACCAAGGAGGTCCGTCTGTAGGGGGGCAAACGAGAAAGAATAATCGTGCCCCCCCGCGTGTGCTTGACATGCCAGCGCGCCGGCGGTGGAGAAGACAGAGGAGCGTGAGAGGGGAGCAAAAGGAGGAGAGAGAGGGAGAGGAGGGAGAAAAAACAAGACGGGGGAACAAAGAGGATGAGTCAAGTCATGGTTTTGGCTGGAAAAGGGGGGGAGAGCGAGGCAGAAGGTGCGAGAGAGGAGGCGGTGCACGAGGCCGTGACGCACAGAACGACCCTCTGATAAGCGGCGCTCCGGCAGACCACGATGCCAGCGAGGCGGGCGCCCGCCGGGCGCCGCGGGCCCACGGGCCAGGCTGGCGCGAAGTCCGCCCTGGCGGCGGCGGCGGCCGATAGACGAGCGCGCTACACCGCTCGCAGAATAACTGCTCGCAAATGGCCTGGATCCGCCGCGGGGGATCCGCGACACCCTACATCGAAGGAAACCACCTGTTTCTTCGAAAGATTGCAGGCCGGCACTTTCTGCGAGCAGTGCGGCGCGCTCGGTGAGCCGAGGGCGCCTCGGAGGCCGGCGAGCCGCCCGGGCCGGGGGGCCGCCCAGCTCTGAGCAGGGACCGACGGTCCCGGCATTCCTATAGTCCTACCACGAAATGTTCTTAGAACCCCCAAAAAGTTCTAAGAACAACAACGACCCGATGTGCTAAAACAAAACGTTCTCAACCAGAAACGTTCTAAGAACATTTCGCGCAAACCACAAAAGGTTCTTAGAACATTCTTTGGTAGGCCCATAGGCGAGCCAGGACACGCCGCCACTGCTTGACAGGTGGCGCTCGGGGTCCCCCGAAGCGGCGTGGTGACGAAGCGCGCGGTGGCCTCGGAGTCCCCCCCACGACCTCACCGCGCGGCACGGCGCTGCACGGCCTCTGGCCGTCTGACGGAGGGCCCGCTCGCCCGAGAAGCGTCCTCGGAGAGCGACGCCCCTTAGGCCCGAGGCCGTGCACAGCGACCCCGGAGCGCCGTTGGCTCCCCACGCGGCGTGGTCACCGCACCGCTTTGTGATGGGCCTGGTTTCCACCACCACCACCAGCAGAAGTTGGAGGGGAAAAGGAGGAGGAGGACGAGGAGGAGGAGAAGGACGAAGAGGAGGAGGAGGAGGAGGAGGAGGAGGAAGAGGAGGTGCAGGAGGTGGAGGAGAAGGAGGAGGAGCAGGAGGAGCAGGAGGAGGAGCAGGAGGAGGAGGAGGAGGAGGAGGAAGAGCAGGAAGAGGATACGGCACTGCCAAGGGAAGCGTCGCGCGGTGCACGAACGCCCTCCTGAGGCGCCAAGCTGCTAGCAGCCTGGCTGGCCTGCGGAAAAGCTGGGACCCCACCTAAAGGATCTCGGGTACCAGCTGCACAGACAGAGATAGCAGTGACAAGGCCGAAGGTGCCGACGCGGGGTGCACACAGGATGGTGCACCTCTCTCACGTCGCGGCCTAAGCGAAGGCACGCAGGAAAGCGTCAGCCCAGAGCTCCAGACAGGTATGCGGCATCACCTGGGACAGTGCTATGCGCAATCCTCCAGGCTGTGCCCCCCTCAACGCGAGGGGAGTCCACCGTAGCCACTCCCTGGGAGCAGAGGTGTGCGGCGTCACCTGGGACAACACAGCTCGTGCTATCCTCCAGGCCGTGCCTCCCGCAAAACGCAGGAGGACCACCGAAGCCACTCCCTCTAGATTCCTGCCCGTGGACCAGGTGTGCGGCATCACCTGGGACGGCACAACTCGCGCCATCCGCCAGGCTGTGCCCCCCTCCAGGCGAGGGGAGCCCACCGAAGCCACTCCCTGGACGCCGGCACCAAAGGTCACGACGAAGCGAGCACCTGACGTCATCTGAGGCAGTGCCTAGGCATCCTGTCCCAGGCGGCCCAGCACTCGTCGGCGCATCATCGTCCGCCTTACTAAGCTTAGGGCGGCAGAGAATATCCAGCAGGCCTTCAGCGCACAACGCCCACTTGTACGCCATGTCACTGAAGAGGTTGTCGCCGCTTGTGGTCTCCGCCGCCGCACCATGAGCGAGAGCGGTTCTATAGGCCTCGACGTGGGAGGCAGCACCGCCGCTGAGTACCTTGAGACCCTCTCGTGCCAATTTGGTGCCATTGGGTGGCGGCCCAGCCTTGAATGCGCGCCTTCGAGGTCCGACGAGCGGGCGGAGAGCACCATTCCACGGCCGAGCACGAAAGAGACGCCCGCGAGGCCCAGGGACTCGACGAGGGACGGCATCTCGAACTATGTATCGAGGCCCAACCTCGAAGACGCGCCCAGGAGGTCCAGGGAGTGGCCGAGGAACGCCATGCCAAGGTCGCGGGCCAAAAACTCGCCCACGCGGCCCAGGAACTGGGCGAGGAGGAGCGCCATCAGGAGGTCCATGAACGGCGCCGACACGAGCACCACGACCATATTGTGGGCACACTTCGTCGCATCGACGAACGGCCTGAGAATCATCAGCTGCACCTCCAAGAGGAAAGACATCACGGACTCCGTCACGCACTTCACGGCGATGGTCCTCGAGAAAGCCACGGCGTGGCACAGCAGCAGCACGGCCAGCGTGAGTAACACCCCCACGACCCGTAGCAACGCCACTGCCCGACAAGCGCGAGGCAAAGTCGTCGGAGCCGTCAGTGTCAAGCGAGGCGAGAGGACCAGCAGGGTAGTATACAGCAGCCTGGCTACGAAGGGGCGTGCGCACCGTGGCGGCGGTGCGGATCCGTTGCGCAGCCAAGTTGGCCCCTGCGGCCGCGGAGAGGCTGGTGAGCGTCTCCAGCGCGTCCATGCGTGGAGCCCTGTTCACAGCCGGCGTGTCCGGGCCCCGTGGCTGCAGCAGGGCGACGATGGCGCCAGCCGCTGCCTGCGCATGGCGCGGCGCCGTGCACCGCGCCCTGGCACGGCGACGGGCAGCTCGGGACAGCGAGGCCGCACAGGAAGGCGGCACGTGCGCTGTCAACATGAATCGCATCAGCAGCTCCAGGCGAGGCCAGGGGCATCCGCGGACGCGCCAGGGGAGAGGCCTGGCGCTGGGGGCATTGGCACGGCGGGCGCCCGCCGCGGGGCAAAACAGCTGCGGTGCCCGCGCCAAGCCACCTGAGAGCAGGAGGAGGAGGAGGAGGAGGAGGAGGAGGAGGAGGAGGAGGAGGAGGAGGAGGAGGATGAGCACCTCCCTCTCCAAGTTCTGGTGGCGGTGGTAGAAGCCAGGCCCAGCACTTTGGGAGCCCCCCGAGGGGCAGCCGAGCCTACGCGGAGCCCCGGGGGGGCCTCCCCCGCGGGAGGCCCCGGTGATGCCGCGCCCCCGCCCCCGCGGCAGCGTCGGGCGGCGGCCCCGCCCCCTCCCCCCAGCACGGGGGCGCGGGCAGCTGCAGCGTGGGCACCGCCGGCCGCGCGAAGCGGAACTTCTGCCCGTTCCGCGCGTCGCGGCCGTCCAGGTGGCCCACGCAGGGCTCCTCTGCAGGAGAGGGAGAGCTGCCCCAGGGCCCCTCTTAGAGAGGGAGAGCTGCCCCGGCACAGCGTATAGCAGCAAGCGTGAAGAGGCAGGTCGAGGAGTGAGCTTGGCTGGTGGAAATGGCCACGTGCACCGCAGTCTGCGCTTCAAAAGGGATGGTGGCCGTCTGGACCAAACAGGCAGCTGGCATTGAGGCGGGAACGCGATCCCATAGTTACACGTCGTTCATTTATAATCGTGCTCATTTCTGAAAGTGCTCGTTTCTAATTGTTCCTGGCCCCGTAAGGGCCAGGAAGAGGACCAGGATGGAACAATTAGAAATGAAAGGACATTGGCCCCGCAAAAAATCAAAGCACTTTCGAATAATTAGGAACGAACAATGTGCAGCTGGCATTGAGGCGAGAACGCGACCCCATAGTTAAGCTTGAAAGAAATCTGAAGCGGAACGGCTGTCGGAGCGCCTCCAGACTGGGTGGTCTGGGGCTCCCCGTCCCCCCTTTGAGGACTCTTCGGTGGTTCGTGGTCTGCACCTATGAAAACCCTCTGGCGATGCGGTGGGTGCATTGGATAAAGAACTCTCAGGTCAGGAATCCAGGGTCTGGAGACCAGTGGAACTCCAATCGACGCTTGGCGATGGATCTCACCGCGGCCCTCATCAGATAAGGAATCCTCCAGGGTCTGCAGCCTCCTGCGCGCATTCCTTAACCCACGCCCCCACCGTATGGTGTTCGGGAACAGCTGCAGAAACATGAAGCATTGGAGGTCCGCGAAGATTTCTCGGATCAGCGCTGGACCCCCCCCCCCCCTCCTAGGCGCGCAGAGCGCGCCAGCGGCGGCCACGGAGGCGTCGCCAGGGGGGCCCAGGCGTTGATTCAAAGAACCCGCGAGGAGCTCCGAAAGCTCAGGCTTGTGCAGTTTTTGCGCAGGGACCGACCGTCCCGGCATTCCTATAAGCCTACCACGAACTGTTCTTAGAGCCCAAACATTTTCTAAACATTAAAAATGCATTTAGAACATAAGCCCGATGTGCTAAAACAAGACGACCCCAGCCAGAAATGCGCTAAGACCAACTTCGTGCAGACCTCAAAAGGTTCTTCGAACATTGCTTGGTGGCCCTATAGGCAAGCCGGGACGCTTCGCCACTGCTCGAAATTTGGGCTTGTGCAGGTGCAGGGCTCCTCGAAGCCCGGCCCTGCGACGATGAACGTGCCGTATGCCGGGTGCGCGGCCGCGACGCCCCGCTCGCGGATCTCCGCGAGCTGAGCCTGCCCCAGCTTGTCCTCGATGAAGCCGCCGCGCGCCACGAGCCGCTGACCGTTGCGCCACCCGAAGACGAACTTGCGACAGCCGGTGGCGCGCCCAGGCGGGAAGGCACACCCAGCCCCCTCGCGTCGTGAAAAAATGGCGGCGCGAGGCTTCTTGTTATCTTCGAGCTCTGGAGGCCCTCGCCAAGCCCCAGAACCGCCCAACAACGACACAGGATGACAAGCCGGCCTCGGGGACAAGGTCGGAACTTCCGGGGACGCCGTTTTGAATACATCCAAACATCGGATCTCTGGGGAGGGGGCGGGCCTTCTCAGAGGGCCCAGAAGGCCAGATGCCTGCCGAGAAACTTTCCAAGCTTTCTCGGAAACCACTGTGGCTTCTCAGAATGCCAGAGGGGCTTCCGAGAAGCCCTGCCGCCTTCTGAGACGGCCTACCCCCACTCACATCCCCCATGGGCGCGCCGCCGAGATAGTGCTCCACCTCGCAGATGTGTGCGGAGTCATACCACTGCACCAGAGGCACGGCCTCGAGGGGCAAGGCAGAAATTCGAAGCATGTTCAGCAACATGAGGGCTGTCTTACGCATAGAACTCGCCACACTGCAAAACATCGCCGGACCCGCCCTGGCAGCTGCTAGACGCTCCTGACTGCTGATGCTGTCTGTGTTCATAGCTCTCAGAGTGTTACCGCAAGCTCTTGTGTCATCTGTAGTGTCTCGTCGGCCATCATCTTTTGAGCTTTCTTCAGGGCCCCTTGGGGCACACTCGGACATACCGGACCTTTTGGGCCCTCCTGTATGAGGCTTACATTTGGGCCCTCTTGGGCCGCCATGGAGAAATATCGGGGTCATTCGGGGGACCTCGAGCCAAACGCGGGCGGTTCTGGCTTGCGCTCCCACCCCACACGGGCCTCAGTATTTACGCTTTGATGCCCAAGATGGTCCGCACTAATACTTTGCGCTCTCCGCCATCGCGCGGTCAAAAACATCTCTCAACGTGCCCAATTTTCACGTGGACGACCGCGGTGACTGCCGCTACACGGGCTCAAATCATCAGAGTGAGGGGGACGAGCGGTCTTACAACATCTCTGGGTGCGTTGTTGAAACGGGATTCCGTAGGCCTGATTATGTTTGTTTGTTGTGGTTGCTGGTGGTGGTAGTGTTGTTTTTGGTGTTGTCATTATTGTTGTTGGTTGGTGGTGTTGTTGTTGGTGTTGTTGTTGTGGTTGCTGCTGTCGTTGTTGTTGGTGGTGGTGTTGGTGTTGCTGATTGTGTTTTTTATTGCTACTGCCGTTGCGTTCCCATTCCTACAGACTACAGATCGTTGATCCACACACTCCTGTAATTATTGCACTTTTCACTTAAAGTGCTTCTCCTGGGCTCGCACCCTGTTCCCTACAATGGAAAGCGAAGGGTCACCAACCTGGGCCCCTGGCCCCCAGTTTACAACAACAGCGGCTCCAGATACTTCCTCACAAAGTATTCCAAAATCGCGCTCTCGCGCGGGACTCCTCACAGTTAGACATGAATCGCGCTCTCGCGTGGGACTTCCTCGCCATTTATTCAAACGCCGCGCCCTCGACACTCAGGAATCACACTCTCGCTGTGGATGTCCGAACAATTTATCTGGGAATCGCGGTATCGCTCGAGACTTTCTCGCGATTCATGCCAGACGCACGCTTCAACAACCCGCCTGCTCGACGTGGCCGCCTGGGATCGCCTTCCCGACCCGCTCGTTACGGTCTTCCCGCACGATCTGCCCGTCTGGTTCTGCCACGTGTTTTCTGCTCATGGCCCCTTTCCTGCTACGCTCTCTCTCTCTCTCGTGCTCCGTCCTCCTCCCCCCTTGTTCCTTCGTTCCATCCATCCTTTCTTCACCTGTCTCAAGGGCTGCACGGAATACACGTTGCCGGTAAGAGAAATAGATATACACCCCAAGGGGGTACGATCAAAGACGAAGAGAGCGGGTATGACGGTTTGGGATACACGTGTTACATGGCTCGCGAGTCTGAACATGATTAGTGATGTAGTTGCTGTTGCTGTTGTTGCTGCTGTGTTGTTGTTTTTGCTTTCGTTGTTGTTGGTGGTGGTGGTGTTGTTGTTCTTGTTGAATTATCCCTTCTGAAGAACAACTGCTGTTGATCCCCATCCTCCGGTAACCATTGTATCCTCCGGGTGCTCGAACCTGGATTCTTGCAATGGAAAACGAAGTGGAACCAAACTGGGCCCCTGGCCCCGAGTTCCAACAACAACGGTTCCCGCCTCATATATATCCTCACAAAGTATTCCAAAATCGCGCTCTTGCGCGGGACTTCCTCATATTGTATGCAGGGATCGCGCTCTCGCGTGGGACCTCCTCGCAATTTATTCAACCGTCGCCCCTCCAACCCTTCGGAATCACGCTGTCGCACTGGCGTTTCTCACGATTTACTTGGGACTCGCGGAATTTCTTTAGCCTTCCTCGCGATTCATGCACACGCTTCGGCAACCCGCCTGCTCGACCTGGCCGCCTGGGCCCACTTTCCCGACCCTCTCATCAGGGTCTACCTGCCCGTCTGATTCTGCCACGTGTTTTCTGGTACTAACCCCCCTCTTGCAAATCGCTCTCGTGCTCCATCCTTCTCCCTCCCCCTTCCATCCGTCCATTTCCCATGTTTTAGGGGCTGCGCCAACTACACACGGCAGGTACGGAAGAGATACCCTCAGGGGGATAGGGCGGGTACCGAGGGTTTGGGATATACGCGTTGAATGGCATGCGAGCAGACAAGAGCGAACAGTCTTAAATTGATTACTGTTGGTGTTGTTGGTGTTGTTGTTGTTGCTGTTGCTGTCTTTGCTGTCGTTGTTGTTGGTGGTGGCGGTGGTGTTTGTTAGTTGTTGTCATCGTCGTCCCGGCGACTCACCCCGCAACCCACTCGCGACCCACTCCGCGACCCGCCCGCGACCAGCCCACGTTACTTTGACAAAAATGTCGGCGCATACGGCGGGCTCTTCGTCTAAGGTGTGGAACAAACAAGCAACACAAAAACGGCGCCTGCGGCGGGCTGCTGCCGAGCCCCGCATACTGCCGACGACCCCGCCGCCCCCTCGCTCTTTCCGCAATTGTGGGCTGCTGCGTAATGATCATCAGGCGGGGGGGCCAGGCCGAGGCTTCGACGAGGGGGAACGTTAGGGGGGGACCAGCTCCAGGGGGGGCACCACCAGACTTGCATCGCGCCGATGCACCGCCGAGAGATCGGGGACAAGATCGGGATAGAGAATCCGCACCGTCCTAGGCGGGGTGGGCCATCAGGCCCCTATCTTAGAAGCAGAAAAAACGGCGTAAGCTAGATTTGTGGCGCTCCGCGCGGAGTTCTTGGATCCGTGCTGGACCCCTGGCGCGCGGAGCGCGCTGGGGGCGGCGCCGGAGACGCCGCCTGGGGGGCCCAGAGCGGAGCGCCAAAAAAGTGTTTGTTGGTTGCGTGTTTTCTTCATCGACTATCGGCGATGAGCGGGCGAGTGGGGGTCGATGCATTCCCCCCATGAGCCTATCCTAACGTTGCCCCTGCTTCGAGACTCTACACCCCCGAGGCCTGCAGCCCGCCGCTGTCCACGCAGAGGGGCTCGACCGTCAGCCTGTACTTGGAGAGCACGTGGTACGCGTGGCCGAGCGTGGTGCCCGTGGGCATACCTGGGAGAAACGGCAGCTGGCAAAGCAACACACAGTGATGCTGAGAATAAGAAGAGACGCAGTAAACATGAACTTTTGGCGCTCCGCGCGGAGTTCTTGGATCTGCGCTGGGCCCCCCTCCCTGGCGCGCGGAGGTCGCCAAGGGAGGCGCCGCCGGGGGGGGCCCATGCGCGGATCCGAGAAATCCGCGCGGAGCGCCAGAATTTTATGTTTATGCAGTTTTTCTTCTTCTTCGTTGCCTACCATGGACCGCTTGGCGGCGGGAATGGGGGGGGCGCAGACTCTAACGAGTATGCACAGCATGCCATCCGCGGCCCCAAGCCCCCCGTATCGTCGGGCACCCGCTGACGCGGACGAAGGATCCATGGATCTGGCACGCGGGCGCCAAATCCACGACTCGGGGAACGAAACACTGCCGAGACGTGAGGCCAGTGCCGGCCAGTGCCGCCCGATTCGGCGGCGTAGTTTGCCCCTCCTCCTCCTCCTCCTCCTCCTCCTCCTACTCCTCCTCCCTATCTCGTCCTCCTCCTCCTCCTCCTCCTCCTCCTCCTCCTCCTCCTCCTCCCACCCCCACCCCCTCTTCTTCTTCCTTCTCCTCCTCCTCCTCCAACTCCTCCACCTGAAGCGGGACTCGTAGCTATCCCACGCGCCCTGATCCGCTTGCGCTTCCTCCAAACTAGAACTGGCCACCTCGCACAGCCCTTGATCCCCTGGGGCACCCATGTACTTCAGCCTCTGGGGGTCGGCCTCCATCGCGGCCACGACCCTCGGGATGTCGGCCCGTCGGATGAAGGGCCTGTCGTGTTGAAGCACGATGACGTAGGGAGTGCGCACGAGCTCCAGGGCCGCCTTCCCGATTGCTACAATCATCTTACTGCCATAAGGGACTTCGAATCAGGAACGAAGTGGCCCTTCTGGCCACGGCGAGCCTCGGCCTCGAAGAGGTAATCCTAGATCTAAGAAGAGAACAAGAGAACCAGAGCCCCGCCTTGAGTCCAAAGTGGCCCCTGTTTCAACGTGTTGGCTGTATGTTGTCCGCCCTGGCTCGGCACGATGCCTCCCCTCCTAGCCAGGGACACCTCCGGGCCGTCCTGACAAAGAAACCTTTATCAGACCGAGTCCACCTGCAGCCGACGAGGAGAAGGAGGGCTCCGCGGTGGCCAAACGAGCTGAGAATTGACAGCCAAGCGGACGAAGGAAAGGGCAGACTGGAAGGGGCTCCGAGTCTACACCGAATTCCTTCGCCGACCTCCTTGGCTCCTCGACCGACCAAGCGACATGTTGTATAGCAGGCACAAGCGATCACAAAATCTGGCTATACCAGAAATCTGCGGGCACAGCCATGAGAAGGTCCTACGGTGCACCAGGGCTTCTGGGGGAACTTGCTGCGGACCTCGTACTTCCTGCGTCTCCTGCCTACCTGGAGATCCTCCGATGGCACAGAACGGGCCTTGACGGCGAACCCGAAGCCGTGGCGCGAGTCCAGCTCCAGGACCCTCAGCCCCCCCACGGCGCCCTCGGCGGGGCGCTCCCGCCCGCGCAGGCAGGCCTTGTACGCCTCGTAGTTCGCCGCCGAGGCCGCGTCCACGATCCCCGACCGGTACCTCGGCGCGGCGTGCTCGGAGCCTGGAGGAGCAACACTGGCACAAGCATCAGCTTTCAGAGCTCCGCGCGGACTTCTTGGATCGGCGCGGGCGGCGCCGGAGGGGCCGCCAGGGGGGGTCCATAGCACCGATCCAGGCAGGCCGCGCGGAGGTCGCAAGTTCACGCATGTCTACGCCGCTTGTGATGCTCTTCGAGAGCCATCGGCGGCAGTAGAGCGGTACCCGTCGCAGACGATGATCATGTCGCACCCGGTCACGCCCTCCGCCAGCTGCAGGCTGCCCAACACCTCGTCCAGCAGGTCGGTTGACGGGTGCCGCCCCACCGGCGAGGTCGTCAGCACCGCGGTCAGCCGCTCCCGCAGCGGCGCTGGGGCGCCCCTCGTTGGCGACGGCACCTGGGCGCTGCTCGCTGGCGGCGGCACCTGAACGACCAACTTGCGCGCCGCGGCGGCAACTGCGCGGTGCCGCCGGCGACGGCGGCAGCACCACCACAACGAAACAACCAGCGCTGCCGCCGCTGTCAGAGAAAGACAGGCGGTGGCCAGCGCCGGTGCCAAGCCGCCGCATAAGGGGGCCTGCACCATGGTGGCAGGCCTCCGGGCTCGACCAAGATGGCTATGGAGCGTCTGACGCCCAGAAGAAAGCCGGCGGTGAACTGAGCGTGACGGTTCGCAGCAGTGCGCTTCAGACGACCCACTTCTGCGGCCACTTGCACAGCACTGCCTTGATACTTTTAAGATGCTAGATGTTGGTCTCATGTCAGAGCGAGGGGGCGGAACGGTCTTATTCTGTGCCTGGGTGCGTGGCTGAAGTGCTGTTCTGCGGCGGTGCGGTTTCATGTTACTCTTCTTGTTGCAAGTCCCGCGACCCACCCACGACCCGCCCCACAACCCACCCGCGACCCGCCCGAATCACGCCCCGCGACTCGCCCCAGATCCGCTCCGCTACCTTTTCGCGACCCACCCGCGACCTGCCGCGCGTTTCGCCCGCCGAACCGCAGAATATCCATTCGCGACCCAGGGTGCCCACCAACATTCGCCAACCCACCTGCCGACGAGACGCCCAGCGACCCACGAACAGACAGCAATGCTTTGACACTGGTGAGGGATTGTTCGGACTCCTGGTGAAACGTCGCTATTGAACTTGGCTTCGCTCGGGTCCTCATGATCTCTCAGAGCACCGACCGATCTCTCAACCATTGCCATCGCACCGTCCAACCTCGTCAGACCCTCGGGATTGTGACGCCATTTTTGAGCCTCCCAGGGGGGGACCTGAATTTCCGCCCCCCCCTCTTTTAGAGCCATGGGGATGGGGGCCAGGATTGCCCCAAGAGGTCTCCCCCCCGAGACCCACGAGGGCCCCAAGAAGGCCCCAAATGGGCCTTAAGAGTGCCCAAGAGGTTCCGCGAGGACCCTGAGAGAGCCCCAAGATGGCTCCAAAGGACCTCCGAGACAGCGCTTCCAATGCGGTTGTTACACTGCACTCTTCTACACTTCCCTGAGTACGGCAACTCGCCTGGCAAATTTCTTCTGGATGGGCTGGTGGGGGTACGCGAAGCGTCAAGAATGCTCGGGCCCCTGTGGACCGTCCCCACGTAATGAGCTTGGGTTCCTTCGGTTTCTCATGATCTCCCAGAGCACCGACCGATCTCTCAACCATTGCCATCGCACCGTCCAACCTCATTAGACCCTCGACACTGTGAACAAGATGCGTATTATACCAGGTGGTGGGAGCTCTGTGCCCTGGGCGTATTACACCCTCTTCGTCCTGCTATGGGCGATGGGTCCTCCCCTCCTCATCCTCACCGTCCCCCTCTTGCTCCTGCTACTCCACCTCTTCCTCCCGCTACCCTGCCACCATCCAAATAATCCTCCTCCTCCTCCTGTATCTCCTCCTCTTCCTCGTCCTCCTCCGCCTCCTCCTCTACATCTTGCTCCTCCTGCTCCACCTCTTCCTCCTCCTCCTCCTCCTCATCCTCCTCCTCCTCCTTCCCCATCCTTCTCCAACTCCTTTTCCTGTTCCTGCTCCTTCGATTCATCGTCGTCCGCCTCCTTCCCGTTCTACCCCTCACTCCTCCTCCTCCCCCTCCTCCTCCTCCTCCTCCTCCTCCTCCTCCGCCTCCTCCTCCTCCTCCTCCTCCTCTCCTCCTCCTCCTCCTCCTCTCCTCCTCTCCTCCTCCTCCTCCTCCTCCTCCTCCTCCTCCTCCTCCTCCTCCCGCTCCTCCTCCTCCTCCTCCTCCTCCTCCTCCTCCTCCTCCTCCTCCTCCTCCTCCTCCTCCTCCTCCTCCTCCTCCTCCTCCTCCTCCTCCTCCTCCTCCTCCTCCTCCTCCTCCTCCTCCCTCCCCCCCCCTCCTCCTCCTCCTTCTCTCCTCCTCCTCCTCTCCTCCTCCTCCTCCTCCTCCTCCTCCTACAGTCCAGGGCCACGGCTGCATGGAGGACGAGCTGGTGGCTCTCGGGGCCAGAGCAGGGGCTCCTGAGCGGGGCCGATGGCGCCAGGTTCGGGGCTGCCCTCCAGAACCGCCCCGCAGTTTGCGGTGCCTCGGCCCAGCACTCACCGCTGGCGCGCGCCGCTGCCCCCCCACGAGCGCTGCCGTGGCCTGCCGCGCGGTCCCCCATCGGACTCGGAGACCGTGCGGCCTCCTCTCCTCCTCCTC